ACTCCATTGATCGTCAGCTGAGAGTAAGAGAGAGAGAGTGTGTACACAGTGGGGAGAGGGGAGAGAGAAGGTGAAGAGAGGTAATTCAAAGAGACAGACAATGTGCTATTCACAGGGCTTTAAACAGGTTAGCCCCTCCTTCTGCTGGACACACCTCCCTCATTCAATCCCTTAGGATGTAACCGAACCAGAGTGCCTCATGGGGGAAGGGGTATTGCATTGGAAGGGAATGGAGGAGGAGTTTATCAACATCCCAACTGATTTTGCCTGGTGGCAAAGGCCACGTGCTTCATAGACGACTCCATTATGGCCTAAGGGTAGAATGGGAGCTTGAATCCCTGTATTAGAACCCAATAACACTTCATTGGCATACAGTTTGGCTGTTAATCACATTCCCCCACTTATTACAGGAGTAACTCATGCACTGAATGCATTAAAGGACCACTATATTGCCCTGAGCGTGCCCCCACCCTATTGACTGGAGACGCGCATCCACTGCCAAATGCCAAGCCCCTCCAATGAAATGCTGCTATCAGTGGCATTTGATATCCGAGTGCATCCACAGGGGTTATTCGCCCCCTAATTTGGAACACAGACACTATCTGCCATCCCCTCTCACCCCCAATGCCCATGCCACAATATTTGCAAAGTCCAGCAAGTCCTTCGGCCCACCACTTCTGGTGCTCTCAGTATCCGGACATTCCTCTGGCTATGCCACGCCTCATGTGAAGCCACAGTGCAGGGAAGTTGCTGGACCTGATGGGTAAGTGATTCCACCTGGAACTGGGTTTCGTTTAGCCAGCTTTCTCATTCCCCCTCTCTGAATTCAGCATCACCAATGCATCAGGGTAGTTCACCTATCTCTGTCTGCATCCCAGACAGATCTGCTTTTCAAATTTCATGTAGTTGGAATAGGAGTTTTATGTCCCTTTAATGGATTTAGAAATGGGGACCTGGAGGCATTAGGCCTCTCTTCAACTTGTGAGATTTCCTGTTCGCTGGAGCCTCAAGGCCTCCTGAGTTTCATCTTAGGTTGGGCCTTTAGTCGCAGCCCATCGAAGTACAAACCATCATGAGGCAGATGGGAACCCTCCGAGTGGGCAATTGTTTTGTGTTTTAGCCCCCTCTCTCTGTAGGAGGTAAAAGATGTCTGCTCAGCAAAAGGTCACGAATATCGTTTCAAAAGGGTGATTATCTAGTATATAGAGCCGAAGCTCCACACAGACACATTTGGTCAGGAAAAAAAACTAGCTACGTCTCCCCACTAGAGGTTGATGTAACCCTGCAATGTAAACATCAGAGTCTAAAACACACGGTTAAAGGGCCACTACATCTAGAACCTAGACCACTAAATTGTGATGCAATGGTCTGGATATATAGGATATGTGAAGAAGTGGAGGCCCCAGAGCTAGTCCTGGTGGCCCAGACACTTGTATTCCAGATCTTCTTGATTGTCTGGAACATACTTCATCTTGTAGATCTTCGTAGTATGTAGCTCATCTATATGTTTGGCCACCAAAATCCCTTTGTTGTGAACTCAGAAAAGAGAGCAATTCTTCAACGCTAAGAGCTTTTAGATCGCAGTGTAAATGCTCTTAGAGAGCCAAACCGGTGCTGTGCTCTCTAATGTGAGGTCTCAATAAAGGGATTGTTGCAGCAATAAGGAGTGCTGGACTTATTTCACTGTTACCAGTAATTCTAAGGCTGGCATGGCAAGATCCCTTAAAAGAAGGCTGACAGAATTCTAAGACTTTCGTGATTTCCACATGGAATCAAATATACAAAATTAACAACTTACTGCCTGTTTCAGGGCAAGGGTATAAAACTATTTCACATAAGAGCAATCTTGCATGCCACAAGATGTAGTTTTTTTTGTCTTATTTGGCTATTTTGGCCTAATCTTTGAATTAACTTTGAACTCCCAGCACCTACCCCTTTAGTGAATAACATTGTTAAAACACATGCATCATACCATGACTGAAGAACAATGGACGGAGATGTTCATCCTTGCACACAAGTCCTCCATCAACACCAAATACCAGGAATTGGGGTATAAAATACCAGAGAAATGCACTACTGCTATATCTAGATGCGACCAATAATGCTGGAGATGCCTGAACGACCTGGGTTCCTTATTTCACATCTGGTTGTTGTGTCCACTCATACGACCCTTCTGGAAAGCAATAAATCACTTCCCTTTCACCGGACCTTTACTTAGTTCATCTTTCTCCTATGCCACTCAAAAACTACAAAAACTTGGTAATCCCAGACCTGATAAACACTGCCTGCAGCCTGATTCCTTGCTTCTGGAAACAACGCACACTATCGACAATCGGAGACTGGATTGCTAGGGTGGAGGTGATCCCAGTGATAGAGGAGATGACATGCATGGGATCAGATAGAACACAAAAATGTGCATACACCTTTTTCTATTAGAACCAATGGGTTTCCAGAGAGGAGGGACACACTTAAGGATTCTTGGCAGCCATAACAAGGGGCCCCTGGGATGACCTGCTGCAACCTTATCAGTTCACGGGAGGTGTTAGGGAGGATGAGGGACGCCTTCTTCCCCCTTCAGTTGCCCTGGGGGAGTGGCGAGGATAACTATCCCTCCTTTCCCTCTTCGCTTTCTCTCTTCCTTCTTTTTCTTCCTTCTCTCATCTTCCCAATCTCTCTTCCCTCCTCCTATTTCTCTACCCCTCTCCAAAATTATATCATATGTCTACTATACCACAACATACCTCTCACAGTAGTTCATGGTACTGATAAAAGGAGGACTGGACCTGGACATACCAGACACCCTCATGCTCCTGTCCTACAGCCACCTATGACTTGGAATTTCTGTTAGCCGATCATAGAGCCTCAATGGCTCTCCTGATTTTTGATACTGACACATATGCTCTAAATCTATATGTCTGACTTGTGTACTATTTGCTTACAGTTTTTGTGTTGCACGTACAAACTATGTTCTACGTCTTCCTACAAACCAGCCTCATTCTTGCCTAATACTGCGACTGTTTTTTTTAAATAAATATTAATTATTTTGTATTATCATTTGCATTATACAATGATGTTGTACTTTTACTTGCAAGAAGGGCAATAAAAGCGACTTTAATTAAAAAACTCAAATAACAAAAGCGCAAATGCGTTTTTAAAATATACATTTATAATTGGAATACCTGTTGCATAAGGAGGGTTATAATAATGAAAATAACTCTAGAAAAGAAAAGAGAAACAGCTGGAAGAACCAAGAAATGAACTTCAGCCTGTACTGATTCCCAGATGTAAATCTTTAAAATATGCTGTTAATTGATCTAGAAAAAGAACCTTTTGATCAGTAATTTCACTTCATAATAAAGAGATCCTGTTGAATGGGCGCTATCCTGTGAGTAACTCATAGTTCAGGTAGAATGTAAATGATCACGTTAAAAAGATTTATTGAAATGTAATACAAATTGCAAAAAGAAAATAACCTCAGCTGATAAGTTCTTACCCACTGTGTAATGGTTAGGCTGGTAAGAGTTAATAAGAGCGACCCCCAGTTTTTTTTGTCAAACCATTTGGGAGCAGTTTAACAAAAACCTGGGGTGTCCCTGGCACCCAAAGGACATCCCCTATTTGAGTGCACTCATAACACAGAAATATCAGCTTTATCATACCTGGATGCACATTGCTAACTTACCCCTGGTGCTCTCGGCCTATCGCTGTTGTCCAGGCTTGATGGGTCTCTTGGTGCTAGGAAGAGTTCTGTTTCTTGTCTCACTACTCCCTCCGTAGAATTAAAACATAAGAATCATTTCTTATGAAAATAAAGCTTATACGATGTGACTACCTAATTTTACAGTAATCCTGGGATATGATCTATGTGGAAGGACATCTGCAAAAATGTTGCTTCTAGAGTAAATTGGTTAACCTCAAGGGTTGGATCAATTACATCTAGACTATGAAGACAGAAAGAAAAGTATCTGGGCACACATTGGCTCTATCCCAAATGGCAGACTTTATTGAAACTGAAAAGGCAACGTTTCAGCTTAAACAGGAGCCTTTCTCAGGCTTGAGAAAGGCTCCTGTTTGAGTAGAAATATTGCCTGAAGTATGGGTTGGTGAAGCCATCAAGAGTGATTGTACATCAATGGATGCAGTGCTGTCATAATCCAGAATTTGAAGGTAAGGTAAGTGGTGAGGGCAAGTATTCCTTTTGGCTGTATAGAGCAATTCATAAGATAATAATTTAATTATAATAATATTTTAATTTGTATCAAGCAAATGCCTAGCATGCTGATAACCCAGTGAGAACAGGTGATGGAGAATCATTGAAAAAAATGGAGTTTGTAAAAACAAGAAACATGCTAGCTTGTAGAAATATTTTTTCCTAACTACCTGGCTAGGCATATGAGTTGGTGGAATTTTTTTTCTTGAATGTCATCCTCAGGGTATGTGCAAGAAGGCCACATCTGATGCAGGAGACGTAAATGTCATGGAATTCCTTAACAAGTCACAATGTACCAATATAATGTTGCTGTATTTTAAATACTAAAATTCTACTACTAAAAACATATTCCTTTTAATTTTTTTTAAGACTCCCCTTCAATGGATTGGACTTGTTTATTCAATAATTTGACATTCTATTTGGTTATAATTATTAGCAGTGTTTGCTGTTGATAGAATAATTATGGGAATACGGTATTTTCCCCAAAATATTGTTTGATTGTGGTCCTATGAATGATTTCGGAGATGATGAATGAATATAGGGCCCCTATGTTAGAAGGGATATATATTCACATGTGAATTATTTTTTTGTGGCTGGCCCTCTTAATGGGGAACACAAATATCCAGTTTAATTGCACCTATGCCTGCATAGGAAGTGCTTCAGTTTTATTATTATTTTTATATACAATTAGATAAAGGAACTGTTTAGAGGTGAAAAAGAGCCTGCTCACATGAGACGAACAGTCCTCAATGCATGAGGATTTGAGGTCGGTGTGTATATATCATTGGGTGTCATGCCTAAGGACGCTTAATGATAGTTTTAGTATAATTTATTTGAAATCACAATGTTTAATTTGTAAAGAAGGGGCAATAAGTGAAGAAGTGCTAGTCTAAGGTTAGGCCAACACAAACGTAGGTTGTTAGCAAATGACACTACACTGAGCTTCTACGCCCCAACCCTATACCCTCTGATGTCCTCTACGGTTTGAAGTATGCATATTAAAAGCTCAATGGTCAGAGTTAAGGGCAAATGTGAAAAAGAACATCCCTGCCTTGTTCCCCTTTCCAGTGAAAAATGTTAAGTTCTTTCTAAAATAATCTAAAACTTAAATGCTCCCTCAAGATTTGGTAAAAACCCTTAATAATTACGTTGCCATGTATTTATGACTGTGGACAAGGTCTTGTAAATATATCCTCCTGAGACCCAGCCCATTAACTTGTGTCCTCTGTACTGGACATTTTGTTCACATGAATCTCCTTTTATTCTTTTGATCTACTCTATCAATCCCTGCTGTATTATAAAAAGGTCATCCTGAGCTTTCCAGTGACATGTCATGTGATAAGCTGGGATGCTGGGAACTTCCTCTTCCTTTTCATTACAAATTGGAAAACCTTTTTTTCCCCCTCGGTTCCCAGGAGGATGTAGGGCAGAATTTCTGAAAGTAACACTTTCTGTTAAAGAGACAGAAAGGAATTATAATTTGGAGTCATTTTTTTCTTTTTCAGAGAGGAAAATCTAGCCTAGCTACTGTCCACAGACTATTTACATCATCCCAACGTGGAACATTAACTAGTTATGTAAACAATTTTCTAAGTGGGCACAGAATTATTCTGAATGATATGAACCAGAGGTGAATCACCAGTTGGATGTATAGAGGATTGGAGTATACAAACTACTTGTCAAAGATATGGAGAGAGTCCCGTCGGAGGAAAGAGTCAATGGAGAAAAAGATACTGCGCGGTTGAGACTAAAACGTGCAAAATTTTCCTACCAGGTAGAGATATCTCTACATACTGCACTAATTTGGTATATATCCTAATGTTCTATTTACATTTAGCATTGAAAAGCAGCGTGAAAAGCAAAGCCAGCCTATAATGAGTTAAATATATAATATATCTTCAGCTCTTTAAGGAAAACTAATGACCCCCACATCAGACTAGAGTACCAGTGGATGAACCTGTATACAAGGTTTGGATAAACCCAACATTATATAAATTAGTTAATTAAAGCAAGAGAAAAAGAATTCAGGATACACACCGTTCACAAAAACATCATCTTCTGAATCATTTAGTAAACAGTCCTCAAATTCTAACAATAGAATTACTACCCAATGATGATCATCTGTTTGTGGGCAACGGGCAGTCCATTTAGTAGATTTTCAACACTTATTTGTGGGATGTCTCTTTACCTCTTGGTGCTAGTGCGTATAACAGATCCTGATTACAATGGAAACACTTTATCATTTGTTAAGCAGTGATGGCTGTCCTTGACACCCCAGGTGTTTCTAACCTACAATTCCCACGAGCATCACAGGAGATGTGGTTCAGAAACATCTGGTCTGCCTAGGCTAACCAAAACTGTATTATGGAGCACCCCGATACCCGACCCCTAAGCTGAGTTATTTGGTGCATTTGGAAATAAATAACGTTGTAAAATAACATTTATTGCTCTTTTTTTTTTTTTGGTTCCCAACAAAAACAAAACATAAAAAAACATACAAGGCAGAGATGTCAAACTCTCCTCGAGGGCAAAAATGTTGCCACATGTTTTGGATTTATCTAGCCTGTAATCAAGCAACAAGCATTGTCGACATTTATTTATTAATGTGTGAATTGCCCAGAATAAGAATCACACTCAAAGTGAAGTTTAGATTAAATAAGCCAAGTTGGAAACATAGCTCACTTGAATAATTTTTCCTAATTCAGAAATTGTGGCTGAATTTAAATGAATTCACTTTCAATTCTCAATAATTCACACTTCAATGAATAACCCTGTAGTGTTTATTCACCAAACTTTGATTTGTAGTAAATTGAAATCTGAGCAAAGTTTATAATATAATAGCCAAAGGGTGACACATACCTCCCGAGTGTCTCTATTTAAGAGGGATAGTCCCTATTTTTGCCAAAATCCCTCTCTCTCTTTTCTATCCTAATTACCCTCTTTTCTATGAGTTCTATATTGTTAGTGTGTCTGAGTGTATAACAGAGCTCCACAGCAATAATACTCACAGTAATGTGTCTTTAAACTAATGTGTTTAGAAATCATCCTGTGTACATAAGATATATTGTTCTTGTTCTAAATTACATTTTAGTTGCATACATTATTATTATTTAGTCCCCTGAAATATCTCGGCACAGCCCTGCCCCGTCCATACCCCGAGTCACACCATTAAAATTAATGTGTCCCTCTTTGTCACTTTGAAACGTTGGGAGGTATGGTGGCATAATGTAAGTTGAAGAATTTGTTTCTAAATTAGCTATTTAGCCAACATTTTGTCATTCAGATTTTATTTCCATATAGTTTAAAGTTTTGTGAATGAACCAAATGACTGGAGTTCTGATTATTATTTATAATCTTGTTGTGTTTCATCCGAGGGCTGGAATAAAGCATCCCTGATATAAGGCCATATCTCATTATACATTAAAAAGCTCTAAATACAATACAAACACTGCTTAGAATACATGGTTGGGAATGGAGGTTTAGAAATTCTATCAAAGAGGTATCTATTACTAAGTTTTTTTTTCCCCATAATGCAAGAAATATATAAACAATTTACAAAAAACATAAAATAAAAACATTATGCAAAAGAAGGCACAGCCGGTTATAGTGTACATAAGCTCAAGTGCATAATAATATAAGAAGGAAAAGAGGGATTGCATCCTTTTAATGCATTGTACGAGGGCTTGCGTTCGTTCAATGCATCGTATGAGATGGGAATCTTTGAAAGAGAATTCAACAGTGCTCAACACTTTGGAATAACAAATCCGTACAAAACGTATTATACACATTAAATTCTCTACAATGCTAAAAGAACACTTCAATGGTGGGATGGGTAACATGATGTAAACACTGAGACGCCCATGGAGATTGTTCTGAAAATATTCCTGGACACCAGAGGTGTTATAATAACGAGTTATTACATCATTTAATAAAGAAGTCCATAGCAAGTGCAAAATACATCAAGATTTCTGGGTGTTAGACGATAGCAGCACTGGGGACGAAGCTCTATCGAGTCCTTGCATCTGAAGTGGCAAATGCCCGTTCAATAGGTTTGGAAACTGTAAATAAAAAAGAGAAGACAGCAAGTTAATAAGAGATTTGCCTCTGGAGAAGTACAGCTAACACATGGAAAGTATGAGAGTTAATTTTTCTGCTCTGAAATTTTTTTTTTAAATTGCCTTTTGTCCTGTGTTCATGTACATATGCAGGGAATCTACATTATCAGAGCATGGTGGCATTCATGGTCAAAAGCAATGAGGACAAACTGGCCAACTAGTACTCTATCACAATCACTTAGTAACGCATTAGCATAGTTTACTGGTAATAGTATTAAAGGCTCAGTCTTAGCCCAATAAACACTTTTAATTATTGCAATTAGAGCACCCTGATGCCATAATTTGTAAGACAGTGCATCATGTTTCTCAAGATAATTTGTAAGACCATGCACCACGCTTCTCAAGATAATTTGTAAGACAGTGCACCATGCTTTTCAAGATAATTTGCCAGACAGTGAATCATGCTTCTCAAGATAATTTGTAAGAAAGTGCACCATGCTTTTCAAGATAATTTGTAAGACAGTGCACCATGTTTTTCAAGATAATTTGTAAGACAGTGCATCATGCTTCTCAAGATAATTTGTAAGACAGTGCATCATGCTTCTCAAGATAATTTGTAAGACAGTGCACCATGCTTTTCAAGATAATTTGTAAGACAGTGCATCATGCTTCTCAAGATAATTTGTAAGACAGTGCACCATGCTTTTCAAGATAATTTGCCAGACAGTGAATCATGCTTCTCAAGATAATTTGTAAGAAAGTGCACCATGCTTTTCAAGATAATTTGTAAGACAGTGCATCATGTTTTCCAAGATAATTTGTAAGACAGTGCATCATGCTTCTCAAGATAATTTGTAAGACAGTGCATCATGCTTCTCAAGATAATTTGTAAGACAGTGCACCATGCTTTTCAAGATAATTTGTAAGACAGTGCATCATGCTTCTCAAGATAATTTGTAAGACAGTGCACCATGCTTTTCAAGATAATTTGTAATACAGTGCATCATGCTTCTCAAGATAATTTGTAAGACAGTGCACCATGCTTCTCAAGATAATTTGTAAGACAGTGCATCATGCTTCTCAAGATAATTTGTAAGACAGTGCACCATGCTTTTCAAGATAATTTGTAAGAAAGTGCATCATGCTTCTCACGATAATTTGTAAGACAGTGCACCATGCTTGTCAAGATATACCATTCGAGTATGTCTGCTCTAGAACAATGCAAGCACCAATGATGGACATTCTTTTCCCAAGAAGAGTGCTAAATTGAACATGAAAATTAGTCCAGATCTAGGGGTGAATTCTATAGACACAGTTGTATTTTTATCTGATAGTTTAATCAATTTTAATGTGAAAATAACTATCCATCTACCAGATCTAAATCTATTTCTTTATGATTGTATCCACCTTCTGCTTGAGGATACGATTTCCTTGAGATCCAGAATTACATTTCTTTCCTTAGTAAGACTTATGTGGGAGACTGATAGCATTTAGAATGACAATTGCAACGGAAGGTGAAACTATTTAAGAGTTAAACAAAAAGCACAAGGAACTAGAAAATAATAGGTGAGCTCATTTCTTATAAAGTGACAGGATTACAATTTGTTCACACTAATTACAGAAGGAGTCGGGTGTATAGCCTGTTCTATTTCAGAATATGACCTTTTCATTCACACGCACATAAAATCATGCCTACAATGGGCTCTTATTTGTGCAATTCATTGATTTTACAGTGATGGAGAGGGCACAGAGTTTCTGATAAGGAAATTTGATTCTTATTATGGAATGTATAATTAAATGAAAAAAGTAGGTTTGCTAAACCTATTTTTGATTTCTACTCTCAGAGTAATTGGTAGCATTATTGTATTGAATGTTTTTCAGGTTTAGATCGCACGATGATCTCATTCTTTGCACTTACCTGGAACAAGGTATTTGGTCCTTGCAGCCGGGCAGGACTTAGAGGAGGAACAGGACTTAGACTGCTCCAGAAGTGGATGCTGGACAAGAGTGGACTTGGGGTTAGCAATAATCCATTTGGCGTCTGGAAAAAACCCACAAACAAACAAACAAAAAAAGTTTTAAAAAACTGCGCACAAGATTCATAAAGAATGTATTAGGTTAATGTTAATCGGACAGATTAAGGATGGTTTGACACAACAGCAATGGTTCAATGAGTTCGAGGGAGGATCTTATTTCAAGAAACTATTTTGTCAGCGACAGGATTCTCTTTAATTACAGTGGTAAGCGGTATGAATACAGAGGAGACAGGTGGGGCAATGGAAGAGAACAGAAACAAGAACATGCAGTGGGACGAAGAAACACAAAGGTTGCACCCTCAAAGATTTATAGAAAATCTCCAAAGAGATTTTAAAAAAGACCAAAATAGCCAATCTGGAGATGTATTGCAAAGTCAGTGTTTTTTTCACTTTGACTATTTTCACCTAAATTCTGCAATTACTTTGTCAGTTTGTCTGCAATTCCTGAGCATTAAGCTACAGTAACAAATCCAGATTACAAAAAACATTACACAATGGGGCCACCTAAACATGCCCAAGCAGACAAACTGTCACACTGCAAAGTGAGTTAAACACCTGGTTCTCCCACTGCGACAATGTTGACGGGACATTAATGCCATTAATCTTTGCAAATCGGGCCCTAAATTGGATACCCACGTTCTCTGTTATCTTCTTATGCATATATTAATCACATTAAATTATAATTCTGACTGATCATACATTCAATGTTTCCACCACACTGGGGGATCTTTGCTTGCTAAAGTCACCAACATTTAACTCCAGAAAAGGTGAGTTATCTCAGCAAGAATCTGGATGTAACCATACTGGACTCGAATTAAACACTGCATTTTCCCAAAGAAGCTACAATTTTCAATGTTTAGTTCACTACCATTTGCTGTCTCTCTATGCTTCCCAGATACAGGTCTTATTTTTTAACATTTTTAACATTTTCTATTCGGAATAACACAGTTGAGGTAGAGGGAATAATGACTTCAATCCACAGCACCTTGAAATCTTTTTATAGAATATGTTACCTGTCAATTATTAACACATTTGGACTTCCTTGTTTTATACTTTTTGACTGGGTAGTGTATTTTTTAAAATCTTTTCCATTACAGTACTTTCCACTATTATCTTCCTTAAAGGAACACTATAGAGTCAGGAATACAAACATGTATTCTAACCCTATAGTGTTAAAATCACTATCTAGCCCATCTAAATATGGTAAAATGTTACCTTTATTCCAGTATTTTGGTGCTGGCTCTGCCCCTGATCTGCCTGCTTGGCTGACATCATCAGAAGTGATGATCTCAGCCAATCACAATGCTTTCCCAATTCTGATAATCTCAGGAAAAGCGAGTCAAGAAGGCGGAGCCAAATGCCACCCTGGCCACTCAGCATCTCCTCATAGAGATTCATTGAATCAATGCCTCTCTATGAGGAAAGTTCAGTGTCTCCATGGAGAATGTGGAAACACTTAATGTCAGTGCTGCTCACTGTGCAGTAGTGCCCCAGAAGGCACCTCTAGTAGCCATCTGAGGAGTGGCCACTGGAGGTGCCCCCAGGCTGCAATGTAAACACTGCCCTTTATCTGAAAAGACAGGGTTTACTGCAAAAAGGCTGCATGGACTGACTATACTCACCAGAAGAACGAAGTTAATTGTTCTGGTGACTACTGTGTCCCTTTAACAACTATCTGCCTTCATGACACCCAGTACGTATTAGGATCCTCTAATTCTGGTCTTTAGGGAACTGATCCTATTCCATAAATCTCATAAATGGTGTTGTGGATCAGGCTCTATACTGCAACTGGCTATAGCTTGAATGGTATGAGAGATCAGTCCAAATTGTGTGTGCAGCGTGTGTGTGTATATATATATATATAAGGAAGATAGAAGATAGAATTCCATCTGCTTAATTTCACTTAACATCACTGCTGTTAGAAACTCAGAGCTCAGGGCAATATTTCCAAATTATTTTACTGTACAAATGAGCTAACTTACAATATGTTCTGTCCATACTCACCATCCTTCAATGCTTTTGTGGAATTGTTGTGAACAAAGATTATGAATATTTGATCTACATTGATTTTTCTCAGTAATCCTTATTTTTGCACAGTTCACTGACAATGTAAACATCATCATATATTTATATAAAAGGATCTTTGGTTGTCAGCATTATAACAAACATATACAGGTGTAGTGGAAAACAGAGTCTGAATCAAAGTGAACTGTGGGTTTTATGATACATATATAAAAAAAAAACTTGCGGTGCTCTAGAGTGTGCTTCATGTCACTGCTGGCATAGTGTATTAAATGTACTTATGACGGGAAAGTGAGGCCGTGACTAATGTTGCAAACAGCATGCTAGATATCAGGACTATTATGAGATTGAGGGTGGGGGTGAGCTGTGGGTGGCACCACTTAGCCAAAGAAATATAGAAATAAAAAGCACAAAGTAAAGAACAACATAAAGATACATGAACATCTAAATAAACATCAGGAGCATCACGATGTCTGCAATACTGGGTGTTAATCTGAAAGGACTCCACTATCGCAGAAGGAATGAGACACGGGAGGGACTGGAGGAATGAGACACGGGGGACTGGAGGAATGAGATACGTGGGGAACTGGAGGAATGAGACATGTGGAGGGACTGGAGGAATGCAGAGACACGGGGGACTGGAGGAATGAGGATGAGACACGTGGAGGAATGAGACACGGGGACTGAAATGAGACACTGGAGAATGAGACACGGTGGACTGGAGGAATGAGACACGGGGGACTGGAGGAATGAGACATGTGGGGACTGGAGGAATGAGACACGTGGAGGGACTGGAGGAATGAGACACGGGGAACTGGGAGGAATGAGACACGGGACTGGAGGAAATGAGATACGTGGGGGACTGGAGTGAATGAGACACGTGGAGGGGACTGGAGGAATGAGACACGTGGGGGGACTGGAGGAATGAGATACGTGGGGGAACTGGAGGAATGAGACATGTGGAGGGACTGGAGGAATGAGACACGTGGGGGGACTGGAGGAATGAGATACGTGGGGGGACTGGAGGAATGAGACACGTGGAGGGACTGGAGGAATGAGACACGTGGGGGGACTGGAGGAATGAGACACGTGGGGGGACTGGAGGAATGAGACACGTGGAGGGAGATGAGATGTATGCAGGGGCTGGGTGGGACACAAAATTACATAGAGGGGCTGGGGGACAAAGAGACAAGGCACTGGAAGGAAGAGACACACAGAGGTGCTGGGAGGTGGGGGGCAAACAGCCACGGAAGAGCTGGGTAAGGGGGAATGGCGTCGCTACATCATGCTGTGCCCCTCCAAATGCCGGCAACTTGCTGGCCATGTGTTTAAATTCTATTCAATCTGTGACAGCCCGAGGGAATGCAGGACAGTCTGGCCAGAGGAGCTGGAGCGCTGCAGGAGGCGGGGCCTGTGCCGGGGAGCCTGTCAGTGCTCTCTCCGGCCCCAGCATCTCTGCACAAACTGAGCACTGACAGGCTCCCCGGCAAGGCCCCGCCTCCTGCACATAGGCCCCGCCCCAGCCGTAAAGTAGCAGACCTTGCTGCTGCAGAAGATGGCTGTCTGACCCCCAGCAACAGCCTCCAGTGACTGGTAGGCTTGATGTGTGTGTGTGTGTGTGTATGGACTCAGCAGTCTGTGTGTATGTGTGTGTATGGACATAACAGTCTGTGTGTGTATGAACTCAGCAATGTGTGTATTTGTGTGTGTATGGACTCAGCAGTCTATGTGTGTATATGGACATAGCAGTCTGTGTGTGTGTGTGTGTGTATGGACTCAGCAGTATGTGTTTGTGCGTATGGACTCAGCAGTCTGTGTGTGGACTCAGCAGTCTGTGTGTTTGTATGGACTCAGCAGTCTCTGTGTGTGTGTGTGTGTGTGTGTGTATGGACTCAGCAGTCTGTGAGTGTGTACGGACTCAGCAGTATGTGTTTGTGCGTATGGACTCAGCAGTCTGTGTGTGTGTGCGTATGGACTCAGCAGTCTGTATGTGTGTGTGTGTGTGTACGGACTCGGCAGTCTTCTCAACCACAGCTGGAAGTAGCGGGATGGAGGACAGTCGGTCTTACTCCCGAGCGGCAGCATCTTGTACAGGGAGAGGAGTCAACTGGTCTCTCTCTCCAGCAGCAGCTGGGGAAACCGGGAGAGGAGACAGCTGGTCCCTTTCCCCAACTTTGGTGGGAGCTCATGCGAGTGGGGACACCTGGTCCTACTCCCCAGAGGCAGTACCTGTTAGCCGAAGACAGGACACCTGAAACAGATGGTGCAGATGGGACCGAGGTCTCTGCACCAGATCTACAGGGATGCTGGGCAGCCTTCCCAGATCCCCCACAACCCCAGCGGGAATACCAGGGGGGGAGGTGGTCGTCTCCTCTTCTCAACAGCGGATTCCAACGGGGTCCTGGGGGTAGTGGATGGGATGGCAGTATCCACTGACCGCATCCCAGCAGAAGAGCTGGCATCCAGGCAGAGCGCCGCTGGCCTCTGCCCCTCAAGCAATGACAGCTCCATGACTGGGAGCAAGGGGGAGACCGGGGGTGATAGACATCACCTACACAGCAATGTGGAAGTATCCGGGCCGAGCAGGGAGCAGGAGGCTACCAAGTCAGCTACTTGGTTTTGGGTGGGCTTCCTGACTAACTCAGGCACTGACCGGCAGCAAGTTAGTGTTACCTTGGGGGGGAGGAGATATGTGGCGAGGTTACATGGAGGAGCCTGCTTGCCAGCCTCTTGCCCCTATGGGCTCTGCAAAAAGAAGTGAAAAATGCATTTTTAAAGACTCCGTTCGGTTGGGTTCCCTGTGCTGTTCAGGAACCGAACAGTTCCACGAACTAAGGACCACACGGGAGCTTGTTAAACATTATTGACACCTTATGACATTCTGACAGCAATCTACCATGTCTTATCTCCTTCCGTCTCCATTAACAAACTGCGAGGAGGCCGGTGAGGGAGATCTTCCCACCGGCCTGAGAAAGGCAGACAGCAGGGCCGGCTCTCCATGAGCCGGACCAAGTGATTTTGCGTGCCTTATAGAGTCCGCAGGCCGGATATTCCCCATCCCTGCTTTAACCCCTTAAGGACCAAACTTCTGGAATAAAAGGGAATCATGACATGTCACACATGTCGTGTCCTTAAGGGGTTAAAGAGAGTCAATTGTCTCTACCTATCAATACATTATTAAAAAATTAAAACTTCGGGGCCTAGTTCATCAATACTACCCTATGTGCAGTGGGATGAAGGGTAATAACAATTGGGAACAGGAGATGTCCAGCCCTCTAGGCTTGTTAAATGGCTCCTCTTTGAATTCTCAGTAGGAACACTGTGCTCTGACAGGCAAGTCACCCTTTTCAAAAGTCTTGTCCAGTAATGTGTACCAGAGTGGAAATGAGCCCTTAGTTGGCTATTTCCACATGCAGCGCCATATAAACTCTCAGTACACTATTTACACATGCAGTGCTATATGTAAACATTTAGTATACAAGTACCAGAATCAATACTTCTTTATGAGGAAAGTTCAGTGTCTGCATGCAGAGGGAGGAGACACTGAGTAGCAGTCACACTGTGCAGCACCGCCCAAGGAAGCACCTCTAGCAGCCTCTAGCAGCCATGGAGGTATCACTAGGCTGTAATGTAAACACTACATTTTCTCTGAAAAGACAGTGTTTACTGCTAAAAGTCTGGCAGGAATGAGTCTACTCATCAGAACAATTACAATAAGCTGGGATACTGCCATCCCATCCACTACCCCCAGGACCCGGACCCTTGCTGTAATAAAAGCAGATCTTTACACCCTTTAAACACTTTAGACTCAACAGGGAAATGCTTAAATCCTGTACTGGTATGTGTTAAAGAACTTTACATATCAGCTACTTTCGCCCATATATTGCAATTTGTTTTCCAATGCCGTGGAATCACCAATTAATGAATAAACCAGAAATATATAAATGTTTCAGGTACTATATAGACTGTCTTGGATATGGGGTATCTACTAACAATTACAGATTGGGTATGGACAAGCCAGAAGAGGCAGTCACCCTATTGGGACTGCTTTACAAATGAAATGTAGAATACTTACGTTTCCCCAAAATAAAGCTAACTTTAAATAATACCCACACTTTACTCAACAGAGCCAAAAAATTGTATGTGCTTGATCTACCTAGTGGGGAACAAGTAAACATTTTGTCTCTTCAAGAAATATATGACAGATCCTTTGTGGTAACATTTCGTATAAATGGTCAAGTGACACAGTGACATCCATTTGGTTAAATTTCCTGAACTTTGACTTTAGTGAATCTCAGTCTTTTTTTGTAAGTTTTATGTTTTATGCCAAACACTATTTTCACATCATGTTTGTGAATAACTTAACAACTCCTGTTTACCTAGGACGTACCAGTTTCTGACACAACCACGTGTCAAATGGTGACTAGCACATTCTATTAATCACACTTCACTGGACTGCTAAAAGCACTGGTACATTGTATCTCTGTTCGAAGCACAGCTTCTTACCTGAGCAGTGAAAAAGGCTGGAGTCAGCGATCCAGAGGGGAGCGCCGGGCTGTTGAGAGCGATTGATCCAATATCGCTACTTGAAAGAAGAAGAGGTGGAGAGTAGATCTCTAGGCCTTTTGGCTTCTTTGCTTTGGGAGGATGGCAGGATAGCTTCATCTTGGATCCCGCTGAGAGATTTAATGGTTCCACGCTGTCTGTGTTGTGGCAGGGGTAATCAAGGAACAGACCCCTGTGCTCTGTCGGAAAGGACAAATGAGGGGACAGAGATGGGGATCGGGAGGAACATGGAGACAAAGAAGACACACTAGCTCTGTTTGATCTATCCGAAGGTCCTCTAGCGGACAAAGAGGATGTTAAAAAAGCTGATGCAGCTGTTGATTCTGACGTAGATGGAAGGGAAACTACAGGCCGGATGGCTTGCTTGTCTGTTTTATTTGTAACAAATCTTATAACAGTTCTGACTTCCTCCACGGGGCTCCTGACCAATGGTTTTTCTTCTTCGTCTTCTTCTTCGTCCTCTCCCTCATCCTCCTGCTCTTGGAGATTTTCATTTTTTATAGCTTTGTAGCTGTCTGTCTGATTTTGCAGCGAATTTATAGTAAATGATGAATATAAGCCTGAGTGGATATATTCGTTCCGAGTGGCACTTTTTAATGCTGACAAAGTTTGCTTGTGTCTCTCTCGAATATCAGAAGGGATCTTGCAATCACTGTCCTGCAGCAACAAACTCTCCCTACTGACTTCCACCGCATGTGGGTCCATTTTCAGTATCTCGGGGAAGGAGACAAACTTGTAGACAAACTTCTGTCCAATTACCTTTTTGATAATGTTCTAAAAGGTAGAGATACAACATAAAACACATTGATCGGATGAAAAGCTGTTTCAAACTGAAACCATAATCTTAATGTAAATTATTAAACAAATTAAAGGAAATTCTAATATAGTCTAAAATTGTGTTACTTAAAACAGTTCTGTGCATAAAGTTTAAAGAATTATTTTGTTAAAAATCTTAACTTACCTACCATGAAATATATTATTCTAAGAATATTTGGTGGAAAAAAACACATTTAACCTTCCTACCCACCAGTTACGCAGATCGAAAACAAAACAATGTACAATCTGGAGCAAGTTTTCCAAGTGCACGCTAGGAAATACTTTTCTTTTCAGCAAGAGAGACAAAAATGTAATTGTCAATATATTATATATTGTTGGAAAATAATTTAAAGTGAACCAGTCGTGACAGATTCACGTTGATTAAACCCCCCACTTAAGGTAATTCATAATACATTTTTTGTAGATATTATGTTAAAGTCAACTGAACATTTTGTGAAAAATAAAACTACTTATCTTTGCTCCAGCAGAGGTAAGTAGTTAATTTTTTCCATCATCGGCTTTTTGGGGATTTACACCATGCCTTGGGTTCTCTGATAGGATTGAGCCTGTTTGGGCTGATGCTGACACATCACATGCAGCCAGCACTTCAGTGTCTGACTCAATTCCTATTCTCCTCTAGACAGCAGAAGAAGTTGTTTTTTTTTTCCACACTGTCAATCAATCGCTGGCACTGAGAACTATCCTGATTTTAGGCCGAAGAATTGATTGACAGGTGGGGGATGAGACTTATTATTAAACAGATTGTATCTCCCATTATTTATAATTGCTAGCAATTCTGGTAGCATAATGTGTAGATGGAATTTAATGTACTTTTGGAGCAATGTAGATGCTAACTTTCAAATCGACCTTAATGCTAAAACTGATTCTCCTTATCAGAACTTTATTAAATTAACTTTATGTAATGCATGGCAGACTTAGAATGCTTTTATTCAATCATTCTCAACACTTTATATAAACCATATTATGTTATTTTAGCTAATGCTATGACATAATGTTTTATTTTGTTCCCCCTCCAATTCAGTACGTGAGGTAACGGGGGATAAAGACACACATATTTCTACTGATTATACTTCTGGGAATATACAGTAAATTGGGAAGTCCATGTATTCTGATGAAAAAGCAAAACAACCCTGCTTTGGGAGACATGACCCACTGTGCCTGTTTATGTCAGGTGTGTGAAAATGTCCATTAGTCCAATCAAACCAATGAGACCGTGGCCCCTTGACTCCCCTTTTTGACCATCCAGTGACCATCCTGTGAAATTAAAGAACAGTAGTCTGCTTGCTGATTGTCCTTACCTTATCATAATAGTACCGGAGGGCTCGGCTCAGCTTGTCATAGTTCATGTTAGTTTTATTCTTCCGTAGACCCCAGAGTTTGGCCACTTCTTCGGCTTTGAGCAGCTTGAATTCACCATCGTTTGAAGTCCAACAGATGAGATGTTCATGTTTTTGATCGAGAAGCAATTGCAACAGAAACTGCCACAGTGTGATAGCACTCTCCATACCTAGAAGAGATGAGAAATTGTATTATATTGCGCTGCATGCTTACTGAAATATAAAAAACATGTCAATTAAAACAGCATCTATTTAGAAGGGTAGTGGTGCCATCACCATGATCTCAATCTGAATTTATAGCTCTAAAACATAGCAGTTAAATCTTAAAAAAAAAAAATTAAATAGAAAATACGGGGGCGTGGCTAGCTGAGCTACTGAGCGGTCGCACACTTGAAGAGCACCGGCTCCAGAGACCCAAAATCTGACTTTAAATACCGCAACACAGCTCAAAAATTGGAGGATGAGACAGCTCAAGCACCCCGGACCCACAGCAGAGTGTACCAGAGAGCAGAATCAGACTTCGATAAGTCCCCATCCACCAAGGGAGACATAAAAAACCTCCTGCGGGAGAGAGGTGTGGAAGGCGGACCTCGTTGCGGTCCAGGAGGAAATAGGAGGCTTGAACCGCCGCATGGGAGCAATCGAGACCCGAGAAGGGGAGAGGGGGAAAAAGATCGACGACACCGACTCCCGTGTCACTGCCCTCACCCACCAAGTGCAACACCTTACATGCACGGTGACCTCCCTAGAAACACGCCACCGACGGAAAGATTTCAGAATCCACGGGGCCACAGAGACAATAGGCCAAGAAGCTCTGTTCGAGTTTGCCAATGAGGTCCTGCAAGCACTGGGAGTTCAGACAGAAGACGAACGGCCACCACTAGTGTCAGCCTACAGGGTCAGGAAGGCCCCCACAGCACCCGCGGATGCACCCCGCGACATCATAGTTGTTTCAAGAGATATATCACTGAAAACCACTGTCATGGCACGATCTAGACAAAAGCCAAACCTGGTGATTGCAAACAATAGGATTTCGATATATGATGACTTACCCTTCACAGTCCTCCTCGAACGGCGCAAGTTCATGCTCCTCACCCGGACTCTGCGAGATCATGGCATTAAATACCGATGGGGGTTGTCCGGAACACTGGTGGTACCGCAGGGAGATGCGATACACACCCTGTTGGCTGCTGAAGACCACACAGAGTTCCTAAAAAGACTCAATATACCAACATCGACCCCCTCGGAGCAGCTCACAACAGGAGACCAGAAAGCAGTGACCCCTAATGCGAAGCAGAAATTAGGAAACGGACCCACAGGAGACACGCACCCGCTGGGGCAAGAAGACCCCCATAAAAAGACCCTCTTGTCCACACAACCTACGTTATCATTAAGGCTCCATCGTTTCGCAAGGCCACAGTAGGTTCTACGAAAGACTAACAGCAGGAACTATAGAGGACTAACAGGGACAACACAAACTCTTTAGTTAATCCAATACCTTTATTTTTCTTTTTGTTCTGTGAAGCTTTAAACTACAAGAGCCTCTAACATGCCCTACCAATGGGCTGATATTGACTCCAGAGTTTATTTTAACCCCACAACAGCCACTGACAGGCATTGTCACCATGTCTAATTTAACCACACGAGAAACATTCACACATTTTGCAAAAGGCTCATGTTCATCCCACTAGAGATGCCAACCTATGCTGTCGAGGTGCTTGCCTTACCCCACGTGAGTTGTAGTGGAGCCCTACCACAGTAAGCATTATGACTCCGTAAGAGTCACTAACAGGCCCCACCAAGGCATATACCTTAACGGTACACAAGCCGCCCAAATGCCCTACCAATGGGGACTACCCCAAAAGCCGATAGCCCTGTCGACACGCTGAGCCAGGCTGTTGAGCTTAAGCCGCTATGAGCTATCCCAGATTAAAGATATATGCCTGGATGAGCGGCCGAAACGTGCTACTAATGTCTTAATATCAGACCCACACAGGCTGTTAGAGGGCTATACCACAGGGCACACTTTAAGTCCACAGCAGCGGCTAGAATGAGATGCTGACTCGGGAGCTACCTATACACTCTTCTTACACATGTCACCTTCACCTGAGCTGCTGGGACGCTTAACCAAGAATGATGTATGTATGATATAAATGCACGTTCTGTTTAAATTGTTTAACTCTTATCCATCAGATATCTGTATATTGTCATTAAAATCTGTGGAAATTTCCACAACAAAAATAAAGAAATTAAATAGAAAATACAGAATTTCTGTTTCATGACAAAATGCGCCACTAGAGGGCAGGCCTGTTATTACAGACTACACAAGAGATGTAAGTATGCTGCCATGCCAAGAAATAATAACTAGACTTGGGCATTTCTTTTTTGAAGACTCACATTTCAGACGAAAATCATCGCATTCGGGAATTCGTCCAAATGGCACAATGGTAGAATAAACTAATCGCACGATCAAGAAATTCTTCCATGCATGATTTGTTCATTCTTGTACATCCTTGAAATTAGTACCTTATGTGGGATTGCCACATATAAGGGTTCCAAATTAGGGAGCTTAGGTGTCTAGTAGATAGCTCCCTAATTTGACATCCTTAAATATGGCAATCTCAATAAGGGTACCAAATCAGCTACTAAACAGCTCCTTAACTTGAATCAGGGAACTATTTACTAAACAGCCAGATGTGGGCCTAAAACAAAGGGACAATTTTGTAAACTGGTTTGTCCCATCATAACCACTACAGAATACTGCACAAGACATTCATTCCCTAGTTCCTTTACTATATTAGCCTATACCTTCACTGTGAGGCTATTCCAGTAATGCAGTGGTCCAGGTTGGTTGGGTTGCTGTGGTCAATATCTGTGTACCATGCACGTACAACTATCTACTCTTCTTTGAAGAATATTCCTCCCATGAAGCGGATTACCAAAGCCTATGAAGAGCTAAATGCCGTCTAGAGACTTGTAAGAGAAGATGTCCCATCATAGCTGAATAATATATCTCACATGTAGGTAACACACAGTATTATGGAAATTTTTATTTTCACTACACTAGCAATCACACAATGTAAATGCTCGCAAAAAAAGAATGTGCTCATCATCAAAATACAGGGCTGAAAAGAAGCCGAGGAAGTGAGGAATCACTAATCAAGGCTAATGTACGCTATATCTTTTTCTAAAGAAGTCTAATCGTCTCGTGGTGCACAGAGTAGACCTGGCAGAGGTCATTATGGTCCTTGTGTGTGTGGTCAGACACCATCCAGAATGCACACTGAGTCTGTGGTGTATGTGGTTCCTTCCACCAGTTGTAGTGTTTGGAGTGCAAGCTAGACGTGTTATTCTCATTCGTGATCATACATGATGTATCTATCCACACACCACTGTGGCAGCAACACACCGGACATGCTTCTTTGTGGCTGACTTGTCTATAAAACCCTCTAAGACTCTCTGTTACATTGTTTTGGTTCTTCAGAGTCTACAACAGTGATATCCGGTTTCCAGCCTTCTCCTTGCTCATCTGCACTCTGATATATGGACCAGGACAACCCATGTATTACTATTTACTGCCTGGGAGCTCTATTCCCACTTTTATCCACCTATAGTAAATTGCTATTATATGGGATTGTACCTCCTTGCTTCTGGGATCAAGGAATCAACACAGATCCTGTGGTCCCTCACAAAAAATTTCACTTGCGTCATTTTTTGTTGTTGTTTTTTTTATGTGCCGGTGTGTGTATATCTGTGCTTGTATGTGCCAGTTGTATATCTGACACACAGATACACACACAGTGTGTGTGTGTGTATCTCTGTGTCAAGGTGTGTGTGTGTTTGTATAAGCCAGTGTGTATGAATCTGACACACAGATACACACACTGGCAGATAGTGGCACACAGATAAACACACTGACAGATACACACACCTTGAGACCTGTGAGTGTGTGTGTATGTATGTATCTGTGTGTTAAGGTGTGTGCGTCTGTTTCAAAGTCTGTGTATCTGTGTTTGTATGTGTATCAAGGTGTGTGTATCTGTGTTTGTATGTGCCAGTGTGTATGAATCTGACACACAGATACACACTGGCAGCTAGTGGCACACAGATACACACACTTTAACACACTGTGTGTACCTGTGTGTCAAGGTGTGTGTATCTGCGTTTGTATGTGCCAGTGTGTATGAATCTGACACACAGATACACACTGGCAGATAGTGGCACACAGATACACACACCTTAACACACTGTGTGTATCTGTGTGTCAAGGTGTGTGTATCTGTGTTTGCATATGCCGGTGTGTGTCAAGGTGTGTATATCTGTGTTTCTAAGCGCCAGTGTGTGTATCTCTGTGTCAGTGTGTATATGTATCTGACACACAGATATATACACACACTGGCACACAGATACACACTGACACACAGATACACACACCTTGACTTACAAATACATACACAAACTCAGATACACACAGTGACATACACAGACTTGCACCCACAGATACACACTGACACACTCAGATACACACACACAGGCGCATACAAACACACTGATACATACTGGCACATACACACACACACTTAGATGTACACAGTGACACATATACAAACCTTGACACAAATACACACACTGACACACACACACACACTCTTTGACAGACACACATACACTCTCACTGACATGCACACATACACTCTCACTGCCAAACACACATACACTCTCACTAACAAATACACACTCTTTTACAGACAAACATACAAACACATATACAGTCTCATTGACAAGAACAGATACATTCTCACTGCCAAACACATACACTCACTGACAAGCACACATTCACTCTCACTGACAAACAGACACACATACAATTTTTTTTTTTACATTTTACTCCACCCAGCCACCTACCTTTAGGAGTGCTGGCATGGAGTCCCTGGGGTCCAGTGTGGCTGCTGGCATGAAGTCCCTGGGGTCCAGTGGTGATGGCTGCAGCTTGGCTGGCGGCGAGGGACAGACCGGTGAGCGGTGGAGGCGGGCGGCGAGGGAGCTCTGATCTCCCTACTCAGCTCCGTTGTGCGCCTCCTAGTGATGCAGGAGTGACGTCATATTTCGGCTCCGGCATCACTGCTGTGCGTGCAAAGGAGCTGAGCAGGGAGATCAGAGCTCACTGCTTCCTCGCCGCCAGTGGCCATTTTTGTTTTCAAATTTTTCGGCTGAATCCCAATTAGTGTTCCAATGGTGGAACACCAATTGGGAAACGCTGTAATAGAGCAAAGTATCAACGCTAACTAAAGCATGTAACATCAGTTTTAAACACTTAATTTAAAAGCTGGCGAGAGATATGGTGTCTGAGTTTCCACTAAAAACACAACTTGGGATTCTTATTACTCAGCGTACAACGGTGATTTTCAGGTTTTGTCTTTACCTGACCCAACAAGAGCAGGCACATCTAACCTCTTTATAAAACAATCAACGTCAAAACTATATCTTCAACATATAAATAGTTTGTCCACTTTCCCTGGCAAAAGAACAAACAAAGACTCATTGGTTAATTCACTAGAATATGTTTTTTTTCTAACATATGCAAATCTCTTGTCAATACACCAAAGTTCCCAGTTTAGTGATTTAAACAGACACTCTGACCACTAAAACAACGTTAGTGTAATAAAGTGGTTTTGGTGTATAGAATTTTATTTATGCATCCCTAGCCACACCTTCCCTGTTGTGACTCACACATTATTCCATACACACTTCCTGGAAAAGAGTCTACATTTTTTAGCTCTCCTTATTGCACAGCGTGTTTAAAGCAGATCTATCACTTTCAGGGGTCTGACCCCAAAAACTGACAGTTTCAATGTGGGTCTGGAGGTGCAGTGGAGGTAAGTTTTACTTACCTCATGCTGTCCCTTGTGGCTGCTACCATCTTCATGCTGCTGTCTTCTTCGACACTTCAGTTGCCAGGAGCCACGTCTGTGCTGTACTCTTGTGTATTCAAGATCCTCTTTAGACAGGCCTGAATCCCACAGGCTTCATTTGTGAAGGCTGCTAGGATTGGACAAACGTTGACAATGGAACTCTGCCTTTTGTCAACCTCAATCTTTACCATAAGACAAAATAGTTCCTTCTTGGACTTATGGAATCTTTGGACTGCATTGGAATTTCATTGAAATCATTGAAATTCCAACGCCGTCTTAATCATTATTTCATAAATACTAAACAGTGACAGATGGACTTTAATTTAGATTCTTGTTTTCTCTTGCTTTGTTGATAGCCTGCTAGACCCTACAAGAGCCTCCAGTGTGTGACTAAAGTTCAATTAAAGGACCACTAAAGTTACCCTGATCATTTTGTCTCAATGAAGTGGTGTGGGCGCAGTGGTCCTTTAGTTTGAGCCCAGCCATGTAGACTGCTGTTTTGCTCTTCTATGAGTGGATGTTTGAATGAGATGCATTGTACTCGACAGATTTCATCAATCCTGATGCTATCACAGAAGACAGAACAACCTTTGAGAATAGATTGTCCAAACCCAAATAACAGGCAAGTTTTTATGGCAGATTTAGTTTTTTTACATTTTTAGTCTTAAAAAAAAGAAGGGAGGCTCAGTAATCTAAAGGGAGGCAGGAACAATCTGATGTCAAATAAGCAGAACATTGTGAATAATTGGTCTCCTGTGTAACGAAGATAGCAGTGATTTCTTTGAGAACAACGTTTGTACTGGTTTTGCTTTTTCTGTTGTTTTTTGAGTTCCTGTATTTCTGTAGGTTACAGGCAGGAAACTGGAAAATAGGCCACAGGAAATCTGGACTCTTACATCTGCCCCAGCTTAAAATCACAACTGTTCACTTCCGTTGTTAAATCTCTCAGACACATTAACCCATCCATGACCACTTCCAGTTCTATCGGAACACGTGCAGACATGCATATAGGTTATAAACATCATAATAAGCCATTAGATTAATGATGGTTATAAATTGCTTACAGACATCTTTCCTTTCTCAGTCGATTCTGGGACAAAGTCTGAGGCAAATCTCAGGTTACTGTGACGGTCCTTATACAACGGTCCTGAAGGAGTTAAATGTGAACATAGCTGCGCGCGTTTTTCTTTTTTTGTAAATGATCGTAATTACAATCTGCCTTTAAAACTCTTCAGTAGTTGAATAGCATCAAAATAATTCTAGCAGGTTTACAGACATTGACAAAGTTAAAATGTTTCTCTGGATTCTATTACCTAAAATAATCTAGGACAGGGGTAGGCAACCTTCCGTACTCCAGATGTGAAGGACTACGTCTCCCATAATGCTCTTAACGTCATAATTCTAACATCTGGAGTGCCGCAGGTTGCCTGCTGATCTAAGGCAAGAATGGTCATACAGCAGACTCCCAAATGTTTAGAACTGCTGCTCCCATGATTCTTTGCCAAAATTGCCTTAAAGAGCAACTGTTACTACCTAAATCTTAGCACAACCTAATAGTCAACAGAAATGTAGCAATTGGCTATGGTTTTATTTTTAATCTATACAGATTCTTTCATTTTTATTCACATGCTTTTCCGGGCAAAGCTTGCAAGTGAGCTAACTCTGGCAATGCCGTACACACAGCACACACGCAAAGCAGCAGAAAATGGCGACCATGCATGCACCTGTATTGCATTTCTGTGTTAGATAACAGCAAAATTGCAACAAAGCAGCGTAAGTTTTTCACCTTTTTTCACCTTGCATTAGCATTTATTGGGGTGCAGGGAAAAGAAACTGCCATTGGCTCCACATCTACAGACCAACTTGATTACAATAACATAATTCAAGGAAAAAAAAATCTCATATTTTCTGATTAAAGACGATAAATCAAAACATAATTTCGTTAATTATAAAAACTATCAAATCAACAAGCAAGTAATGTATAGCACAACATGTCTACCGTAAAATTGATACTAGGGATGGATGAAACTTACCATTCCCAATAAGGAACAGAAGTTAGGGTCATACCAGATCACCCGAGCCAGTTTAGAGTTTGAAAGTCAGCATTCCGTGATCCTTTAACATTTCTCACACTGTTACAATAAATTTATCCTACACACCATGGACACTCCACCTCACACTACGCACATTCACTCCCGGACTCTGCCTAAGTGCCAATTAATGCACAGCTTGTTACAGGAATACGTTTTTTTTTACTGCAGAATAATGATTCTGATCTTTCCATGTCCAGTAACTAATGTTTCCGCCCAGAGCATCCTCCGACTATTGCTATTGTATTCAAGCTGTAAAAATGTTCTAAATCAGGACTTCCTCCTATTATGTTTTTTTGGGGCGTCTTGCTAGGAAAACAGCATAAGGTAGGAATTCCTTCAGCACCATCCCGTGGAAAAATGTAGGAACACTGAAATTTATATGATAACCTGCTAATCGGACTGACCACTACTACGTATATGTCAGTATAGTCACATTCTGTTTTTGACGGGTTTTCTGTGACACTAAAATAAGATATAGATTACAGGGGTAAGCAATCTTCAGCACTCCAGATGTTGTGGACTACATCTTCCATAATGCTCTTAAAGGTATAATACTGGCAAATCATCCTGGGAATGTAGTCCAAAACATCTGGAGTGCCGAAGGTTACCTACCCCTATTATAGAATATAAGTAGCACACACAAAAGGGCAAAGCTATACCATGCTACTCAATATATGAACTTATTCATATATAACACAGTGCAGAAATGAACACCCATAAGTCCTGGTGCTGTCAAGCTCATATCGAATTGGAAAGCCATATCTATTTGCTCTTAAAATAGCTTCCATTATTATAACGTTTATTTGCAAAGCATCAACATATTTTTTCTGCAGTGTTGTACACCGAACGCATTAAAAAATATATATATATTTTAATTTAATTTTAAAAAAATTATCAAAAGACTGACAATTGTATAATATATAGTTACACAATCTGGTGCGCAATGAAAGGGATACCCTGGGCACTATAACTACTTGAATTAGTTGAAGTTGTAGCGGTGCTTAGAGTCATCACGAGGAAACAGTTTGGATATGGTTTAATAATGAATCAGGTTCCCTCTGATGAAATGTCTATAGCTCACTGGCTTTCAATGCCCACTATCCCTGTTATGATTTTTATAAGGCAGGGTGTAACTTTATTAAATGCGTCACCATTACCGGGTCCTACATTCAGGACCTGAAAACAAAATTATATTTGGACATAAAGTGAGGGAGCACAAAGAAGGGAGGTGCAAGTTACTTCCTCACAGATGCCTTTTTGTGTCCCCCATTGCACATTATGTCCAAAAATAATTTAGTTTTTGAGTAAAGGACTTTAATCCATTTGATGGAGTACAGCTAACATGGTAGGACCATTTGTGTTTTACAATTTATAATGCTTTGACACTGCACTATTCACTTTCATAATTTTAAATGAACCTGTAACGGAAAAAAATACTTACCTTTAATCGCTTCAATATACACTGAATACATCATAAATATAATATTAATATATCATAAAGATACTCTACTAAAAAACTGTTTTTTATGAAAACACAGTTTTTTGCTTTTTTGGGAATGTGCTTTAGTCCACAGGCAATGCTGAATTCAAACTAATGTGTAAACCATACCAAGTGAAACTCTGATTACAAATTTCAGCTGCAATAAAAATATAATATTTTCCTGATGAGGCCAGTGACTCAGGGCTGAAACAACTCGTGGAAATACCAAAATAATAAGACACTGAGAGATACGTGTTCTAAGATCCAGGCTTCTTGAACTCCCTGAGTGAAATAGAAGAGAGCAGCTCACATTGTTTTGGCTCTCAGATTCAATTCAATATAAACGAATTTGTGAGTAATCAAGATTAGGTGCAGATGTAGAATATTAGTATTGAACAGAAAAAAAGAAAAACAACAAAAAATAAAAAAAGGCAACCCAGCAAAAAGAAGCAAACTTAAGCCCAAATAAGGAATTTCCAAATAACTTAGTGCAATGTAAGATCAGTAATTTTTCCCTCTAAAGACACGTTTCTAGGCCATGGGTGGCGAAATGGCAGAGCCCCAGCTGTTGCAGAGATACAACTTTGTAACTCCCAACAGTCCTACAGTTGGTAGGACAGTCCCAATATCTTAGGTTTTAATAGAACTATGTGTATTGGTTGCTCTGAGTGGGCCAGTCAAATGACACACACCCTTTTAGCTCTCTCCCATGATGCTTTGCCAGCTTGCACTGCGTGCCATTTGTCCAGAACGCTCATCAGCGTAGCTGTACAAATGCAGGCTTGACCTTGTGTAGTGTGATTGTCTTCACGGACATGCACAAACATCACTTTTTGGAACCTTTCTCTGGTATTCCCCTTCTGAGATACCAAGAAATCAAAATTGCCAGATCGTATGTAGATGTCGGACAGCACTCTGGATCAAACACAGGGTGATGTTTGTCCTGCAAAGTGGCTGATGGCCTAACTCGGACCCTGTTAGCTGATCGGGGATATGTTATCTACGGCATCTCAGATTGAGTTAAAAACCACAGGCACATAAATAGGGTTATCTACTAAAGTGAGAATTTCATTTGAATTCCAAAGTAAATTTAAAATTTAAAGCCAGAATAGTTGAACTAAAAGCGACTTTTCCACTTTGGCTATTTTGACCTTAATATTGAAATTCACTTTGAGTTGTCACTTCGGTGAATATCCCCAAAAGTGTGAGTCGATATGCCTTCTAGGATGCATCACCTACATTTATGCTATGTTTGGTGTATGTACATTTGTTTTCATGTGAGACCTGTGTTCTTTGTGGGTGTCATGTTCAAGCTGTGTGTTACTGTGGGTGCTAAATGCATTATATTGTGTATACCGTATGTATGTGTGATAGGCATTGTGCATGGGTGTAGTGTATACTGTGAATGTATTTTTGATGACTGACCGGTGATACTTAGGAATAGTCTTTTACAAACTTTCCACTTTTTCATGGCTCTGCACGACTGACACTTTATATAAAATATTAGACAACACATTTTTAAATCAAAAACGTTATTTGCAGAGTTTTACAAAAGACAGAATTTTCTTCCTTTACCATGTGCCAAAATAATTCTACACATTTGTAGGTCATGAGTAATGCTTGGTAAGTATATATAGACCAGCATTGTCTGTGAGTGGCCCCTGTGTAAGTACTATAGAATGCAAAAAATGTGATCTCTTATTTACACTAATAACTTCAAGATGGCGAGTAGCAATGATTCAAGTACGGCACCACTTTCTGGTGTTTATAATTCATTATGTTTTCTTCTTAATGTTCTTTTTAAAATGGTTTCGTTGCTTTATTAAAATTGAGAGAAAATCAAAAGTAAAAATTTTTTTTTTTTTAAATCTCTCTAGTTTTTTCCATGCATGAGTGATAGTTTTTGCATATTTAATAAATAAAAGCACTTGGTATTAAGAACCTTTTTTCTGTTCAAGCAGCAAGCATTCTGGGAATATTAGCCAGTGTCCTGGATGTGCATGGAGTACTGATATTAGACCTGCTCTATGCACAGTAGAGTAGCAAGGGTGTCAGTCAGAGGTGTACATAGGTCACGTGGCACACGGGGCAACTATGTATGTTGGCACCCCTTCAGTTCTAAAATTCTCTGAGTCACTCCGCATCCATTCATTCCTTTTTGTGTATTCTCCTGACCCATCTTGTTTCTCGTAATCCCCCGTTTCTAAATCTGCTTATCCTTACTGTACCTGCACGTACATACACAGTTACATGCATACATACATGGACATGCATTCATACATGCACTCACATTTAAATATAGATACAGTCACATACACATGTAAAGTTACATACACACAGTCACACAGTGCCATAACATACATAATCACACAATTATATACATAGTAACTGACATATATGCCTACCTTGACACAGTTACACATATAGACTATGTCTCATACATTTACATATAGTCAAACACGAGCACACAGCCACATGCACATAGTTACACACAGGCACATAATCTCACCAACACAGGCACATGCACACAGTGAAATACAGGCACACACATACACTGTCTTATACAGCCACATGCACACATATACTGTCACATACAGCCACATGCACACATAGTCACACACATACACTGTCACATACAGCCACATGCACACACATTCACTGTCACATACAGCCACATGCACACATAGTCATACACATACACTGTCACATACAGCCACATGCACACATAGTCACACACATACACTGTCACATACAGCCACATGCACACATAGTCATACACATACACTGTCACATACAGCCACATGCACACATAGTCATACACATACACTGTCAAATACAGCCACATGCACACATATACTGTCACATACAGCCACATGCACACATAGTCATACACATACACTGTCACATACAGCCACATGCACACACATTCACTGTCACATACAGCCACATGCACACATAGTCATACACATACACTGTCACATACAGCCACATGCACACACATACAATGTCACAAACAGCCACATGCACACAGTACCATACACAGGTATATAAACATACACACACAGTTACAGGCATGCAGCTACAAACACAATTACATGCATACAGTCACAAACAGTTACAGGCACACAGTTACACACACATTAATATGTATAGAAGACCATGGGTGGGCTGGAATGTTTCAAATTTGTTGCTGACTTTTTTACAAACTTTACGGTAACTTGATGGGAATAGCCTGCAAAAAATATAGAGTTTGTAATTTACAAGGATTTAATGCACTATCTAGATAAAACGTGCCCTTTAATAAAAGGGAATATATTATGATTGATGGCAGGATTCTGTCTAGTTAATTATTTGACATGACACATCCCTGGACTGGAAGAGAAAGCACTCGATCTGCTCTTACGTACCAAATGAAATTGCCTTTGTACAGCAGATTTGATCAATTATGTTAACACGTTGTTTTCCAGAAGCCCAACAATGGCTTCGTACTGCAGCTTTAAAATATGAGCTGTGATTCACTGCCAACCCAGCTACTCTTCATTGTTAGGACTGGAGGTTAGGACAAGCAAGGTCGATAAGTAACAGGATGGAAATATATGATTCAACAAGCAAGGTTAGGAGCAAGATGATCCTTTTCTCTGTGTTTCTGCAACAGTTGTTTATATGAAAAAAAAATGTTGCAGCTAGATCACTGTCCCATATCCATCTGCCATTAAAAGAGAAAAATATATGCATGCATCATGTGCATAGATAATAATCTCAACTATTTTCAGAAGAAAATGAATTAAAGCTGGTACATTTTTAGGGCAGGGAAGGTAAAAATGACAAATTTATAAGTAGAGTAATCAGGAATACAACACGTTATTATTAGCAATTTTATGAACTCTTTACCATGAGAGGCTAGATTTACAACTTTGAGGTATACTTGTAGTAAAAAAAAAATACCAAACATCAAAAGAGAATAGTTATACTATTGGGGAATTAGAATTATGTATTATATTCCCTACAAATAGAATCCCACAAAGGTGTGTACATATCATTTAACAGTTTTATTTACAGAGAAATAGTTACAGAACCAGGGAAATGCGAGCATGTTCCTGCAGCATCCTCTGACTGTTTGGAGGGGTATACAGAGAGTGTAAAATGTGACGCTATTTAAAAAAATTCATTATCATGGAAATGCAGCATTCCGAACTGCATAGAAATATACACTGCTCAAAAAAATTAAGGGAACACTTAACCCCTTAAGGACAGAGCCAAATGTACACGTTGTGAACAAAACAAAACGTAAACAAAATCTGGCATTTGCGATACATGTCTGTCCAACCGTAATTCACCTCTTTCATATTAAATGCACCCACCCTTATTATATATCATTTTATTCAGGGGAAATAGGGCTTTCATTTAATATCAAATATTTAGCTATGAAACATAATTTAATATAAAAAAATTGGGAGAAAAGATTTATTTTGATTTTTTTAGTTCTACATGACATTTTAACTGTCAATGTCATAATACTGTTTGCTATTACTGCAATAAAATACACATATTTGTATTTAGCAAAGTCTCACGTGCAAAACAGTACCCCCTATGTACAGGTTTTATGGCGTTTTGGGAAGTTACAGGGTCAAATACACGTTACATTTGAAATTGAAATTCGCCAGATTGGTTACGTTGCCTTTGAGACTGTTGAGTAGCCCAGGAATGAAATTTACACCCATAATGGCATACAATTTGCAATAGTAGACAACCCAAGGTATTACAAATAGGGTATGTCCAGTCTTTTTTAGTATGGGTAATTTTCATTCTTAGCCTACCATAGGGTCTCAAAGGCAACGTAACCAAGTCTCACGTGTAAAACAGTACCCTCTATGTACAGGTTTTATGGTGTTTTGGGAAGTTACAGGGTCAAATATAGCACGTTACATTTGAAATTGAAATTCGCCAGATTGGTTACGTTGCCTTTGAGACTGTATAGTCGCCCAGGAATGAAATTTACACCTATAATGGCATACAATTTGCAATAGTAGACAACCCAAGGTATTGCAAATGGGGTATGTCCAGTCTTTTTTAGTAGCCATTTGGTCACAAACACTGGCCAAAGAAAGCATTAATATTTGTTTGTGTGTGAAATATGCAAAGAACGCCAATTTTGGCCAGTTTTTGTGACTAAGTGGCTACTAAAAAAGACTGGACATACCCCATTTGCAATACCTTGGGTTGTCTACTATTGCAAATGGTATGCCATCATATGGGTAATTTTCATTCTTGGGCTACCATAGGGTCTCAAAGGCAACGTAACCAATCTGGCGATTTTTTATGTGAAAAAAATGAAACGCAAGCCTTATATTTCACGCTGTAACTTTTGAAAACACCATAAAACCTGCACATGAGGGGTACTGTTGTACTCGGGAGACTTCGCTGAACACAAATATTTGTGTTTCAAAACAGTAAAAAGTATCACAGCAATAATATCGTCCATGTAATTGCTGTTTGTGTGTGAAAAATGCAAAAAACTTCACTTTTACTGGCGATATCATCATTGTAATACATTTTACTGTTTTGACACTAATATTTGTGTTCACCGAAGTCTCCCGAGTACAACAGTACCCCTCATGTGCAGGTTTTATGGTGTTTTCAAAAGTTACAGCGTGAAATATAAGGCTTCTGTTTCATTTTTTTCACATTAAAATTCGCCAGATTGGTTACGTTGCCTTTGAGACCCTATGGTAGGCTAAGAATGAAAATTACCCAGGTACAGGTTTTATAGTGTCTTGGAAAGTTATAGGGTTAAATATAGTGCAAGCAAATTAAATTCCCTATACTTTCGGCATGGGTTGTCAGGCAGGTCCCGCTAATTGTAATTAATTAAAATACCTAATTATGTAAAAATGTTACATAAATATATATGTAGAATTAATATATGTATATATATATATATATATATACGTATGTGTATATATATGAATATATATATAATTTTTTAAAAATATTTTTATTTATATATAGGTATATATAGTGTTCAAGTAGAGATTGTAGCCGTATTAGTCCAGTGATGTAGATGTAAAAAAACAGATAAAATTCTTATCTTGTAATACCTTTTTTATTGGACTAACAGAATTTTTTAATGACAAGCTTTCGGGAGAACCTCCCTTTCTCAAGTCTAAAGCATTTCTGAGCAAAACGACACATAGAATTCAAAGTTGAGTTGTGATACAGGGGTTAAAGCGACATGAGTGTAGATAAGACACAGGTTTGTTAGAAAATAGACACCATCTTAGCAGAGGGTCATAAAGCTAGGTATATATAGTGATATATAAGTATATATTTATGTATATAGATATATATTATTTTGTTCTACATGTATTTTGATATAAATATATATATATTAATATCACAATACAGTTAGAACGAAATAACACACATCTATATATTTTTTAATTATTTATTTTTATTTATTTTTTATTTTTATTTTTACGTATTTATATAGTAATATATACGTATATATTTATGTATATAGATATATATTATTTCGTTCTACGTGTATTTTGATATAAATATATTAATATCACAATACAGTTAGAACTAAATAACACACATCTATATATTTTTTAATTATTTATTTTTAAAAATTTTTTAACGTATTTACATATTTTTTGTATATTATATCTAAATATATATATAACAATAATTATATACATATATTTAATCAGTATCAGTCTACGTATAATTTGATATTAATATATATATAATTATATATAAATTAATAGTAAAATACACCTAGACAGTGTATGTGTGTGTATGTATATGTGTATATATATCCTGTATATATATATATATATATATATATATATACTTAGATCATATATATATAATATATATACATATGATCTAAGCATATATATATATATTTTTTTTTACACTGATTAACTTTATTTTATTTGATTTCAAGCCAGCAGGGGGACTAACTGTCATTACAGGCAGTCCCCCTGCTGGCAATGCAGGGGGACTGCAGCTAACCTCGCAAGGACCTCACTCTCACATGGCCGGGGGGGGCGGAGGAGGAAGGATCCGCCGCAGGGGACTCCCTGGGATCCCAGGTGAGTCTCCCCAACCGCGATCGCGGGCGTGAGATCGCCTGCCACCGGGTAAGTAAGAAAAACCGGAGGGCGTACTATTACGCCCTCTGGTTTTAAGGGGTTAAACAACACAATGTAACTCCAAGTCAATCACACTTCTGTGAAATCAAACTGTCCACTTAGGAAGCAACACTGAGTGACAATCAATTTCACATGCTTTTGTGCAAATGGGATAGACAACAGGTGGAAATTATAGGCAATTAGCAAGACACCCCCAATAAAGGAGTGGTTCTGCAGGTGGTGACCACAGACCACTTCTCAGTTCCTATGCTTCCTGGTTGATGTTTTGGTCACTTTTGAATGCTGGCGGTGCTTTCACTCTAGTGGTCGCATGAGACGGAGTCTACAACCCACATAAGTGGCTCAGGTAGTGCAGCTCATCCAGGATGGCACATCAATGCGTACTGTGGCAAGAAGGTTTGCCGTGTCTGTCAGCGTAGTGTCCAGAGCATGGAGGCACTACCAGGAGACAGGCCAGTACATCAGGAGACGTGGAGGAGGCCGTAGGAGGGCAAAAACCCAGTAGAAGGACCGCTACCTCTGCCTTTGTGCAAGGAGGAACAGGAAGAGCACTGCCAGAGCCCTGCAAAATGACCTCCAGCAGGCCACAAATGTGCATGTGTCTGCTCAAACAGTCAGAAACAGACTCCATGAGGGTGATATGAGGGCCCGACGTCCACAGGTGGGGGTTGTGCTTACAGCCCAACACCGTGCAGGACGTTTGGCATTTGCCAGAGAACACCAAGATTGGCAAATTCACCACTGGCGCCCTGTGCTCTTCACAGATGAATGCAGGTTCACACTGAGCACACGTGACAGACGTGACAGAGTCTGGAAACGCTGTGGAGAATGTTCTGCTGCCTGCAACATCCTCCAGCATGACCGGTTTGGCAGTGGGTCAGTAATGGTGTGGGGTGGCATTTCTTTGGGGGGCCGCACAGCCCTCCATGTGCTTGCCAGAGGTAGCCTAACTGCCATTAGGTACCGAGATGAGATCCTCAGACCCCTTGTGAGACCATATGCTGGTGCGGTTGGCCCTGGGTTCCTCCTAATGTAAGACAATGCTAGACCTCATGTGGCTGCAGTGTATCAGCAGTTCCTGCAAGACGAAAGCATTAATGCTATGGACTGGCCCGTCCGTTCCCCAGACCTGAATCCAATTGAGCACATCTGGAACATCATGTCTCGCTTCATCCACCAACGTCACGTTGCACCACAGACTGTCCAGGAGTTGGCAGATGCTTCAGGGAGGTCATACAGGCACGTGGAGGCCACACACTACTGAGCCTCATTTTGACTTGTTTTAAGGACATTGCATCAAAGTTGGATCAGCCTGTAGTGTGTTTTTCCACTTTAATTTTGAGTGTGACTCCAACTCCAGACCTCCATGGGTTGAAAAATTTGATTTCCATTTTTTTATTTTTGTGTGATTTTGTTGTCCGCACATTCAACTATGTAAATAACAAAGTATTTCAGAAGAATATTTAATTCATTCAGATCTAGGATGTGTTATTTTTGTGATCCCTTTATTTTTTTTGAGCAGTGTACTTTAAACAGATTGGCGTAAACTGATGTAAAAACTGACCGCATATTTTTAAAGGAACATGAAGTGGACTGGGTGCAGTGGCCTGACCTCTGACACCTGCAATATAAGGTATTGCTGTTTTTGAGAAACTGCAATGTTTACATTGCAGGGTTAAGCCCACCTCTGGTGGCTGTCAGTATGTCAGCCACTCGAGATGCATCCACTGCACTGATATTAAATCTCAGCCACGTAACGCTGAAATTCCAAAGGAAAGCATTGATTCAATGATTTCCAACGAGAATAATTGGAATGGACTATCGTGGAGGAGGCCGCCATGCCTCTTCTGTGACGTCGCTGGGAGAGGAGAGCTAAGAAACACAGAGGGAGCCTCAGCAATGAAACAAAGTACGTTTTTTTTAATTTATTTTTTTACTATTTATATGCCAAATGGGGGAGGGATCTAATATGACTAGTCACAGGGACACTATAACTTTGGGAACACAGATTTGTATTCCTTGCATTATAGTGTTCCTTTAAACAGAAACAGGTAAAGTACATACACATTGCACGCACAATATGTACACAATTGCTAAGTGTTCCAGGTACCTGACTGACCACCCTGGTTGGCTGACTTATAGAGGCTGCAATATTTACATATCACTGCCACCATAAGCCAATTCAAAGAAAGAAAAATTCTGGCCAGTCAAAGGAACCGTCCAAGCATTATACCCTGCCTGTTGTAGTGCTTATTGTTCTAGGAGTATCCTCTCAGGGTGTTGTGGACAAAAATATTAACTCAATTTATGTTAGTAAAATGCCTATTTACTCAGCATGCCTACAATCAGCATTATTCAACTTTATATGTGATTTACCTAAAATGGCCGCTAGGGAGTTTCCCTTTGACATCGACTAACACCCTCATTAACAAGATGGTGCTGGAATCTGGGGATACCAGTGACATCACACCCGGTAGGAAGAGAAATAAATGAACCACTTAACACCTAACCAATTATTGATGTATTATTCCATGTTATCTATGATAAAGCATATGATGTAACTTTATAAGGGGCATGCCGTCCCCTCAGAATAAACATTCCTCAAGTTTTTCATTAACCTGAAACCTGTGTCTGGTGTGAATTACTTTAGGAGCGTGCACGCATTACTTCTTTAATTTGGCCGGGGGCAGATACACAAGATAATCAATTAATTGACTGATTCCACATCACAGGGTAAGTAGTCAAATCATTTGTGAGTGCCTACCGCCACTTTTCGTGGAGCTTAAAGCTTCAGCAAGGAGTTTCCATCAGCTCCCCTGGGTTAAGACCTGTCGTGCAGTGCCATCACAATGGCTGAGAGCGTCAGTTGAGTGCTCTCAGCAAAGCTGCTGGGCTTACCTCAGTGCAAGGAGCTTCGAGGACACAGAAGAAGGTGACCAGTGTGTCCCAGGTAAGTTGTCAAACCTTTCACAAACCTTTAATTACTCTGGAAAGGTCCTAGACACTATAAATACGACAGTGGGTTCTACTGGTTATGGTGTTTAGAGTGTTCGATTACGGTAACCAATTAATGATGTCACGCTTGATCCGTGCTAGCTAATAGTACAGGAGGCAGAGGATGCCACATATTGAGAGCATTGGTTGCACTATACATTCATAATACAGCCACACAGTGAAATTCTACATGGGTGCAATGTGAATACATTCTAAAATAAATACTTTGAATTCTGAGAGGGATTAGCCTTCGCTCTTGCTATGCTCCATTTCCTAACACATGTGTATGGCCCGAGAGGGTCTTTTCTCTAACAGGATAGTGATGCATCTATTCCGTAAAATGCAGATTGCTTCTAATGTTAGCTTCACTTCTTGTGATTTCTTTTCAGTTGCCCTCCATACTGAGCTAGCTGGTACACAGGGGACGATCCTACCCATCATATGGGTCAATGAGACTCAACATATGGCATGAACGACAGCAGACAGTAAAGCTATCTTTGTATTGAAATGAGCATATTTCTAAAAAAGAATGTATCAATACCATTATTACTGGATGTACACAGCAGAAGTATATGCAAGTTACAGGGCATGAACGTGGATCCCCAGAGCTAAATCTATTTCACAACACAAACCAAATTTTTATTTTATTTTTAATTTAAAGGAACACTCACACCCAGTAACAATTTCATTTATATGAAGCTATAATGGTGGCAGAAGAGCCTTTGTGACATTTTACCTTTTGGAATGATTTAACCCCCATCATGGCACCACTGTGCCTCTTCTCCCGCTGCCGTTCTGTTCGTCCACTGGGTGCCATACACTCCAGAAAGATTTTTCAAGGGGACAGGTTATATTCACCCCAGGTGTTCCCAATTAAGGGTTAATAAGTATGGAGAGGTTTAGAAAAATACCCATCTCTGTCTTAGAGATATCTTTGCCTGAAGCTCAAGGAAGCAAGGTGAATTGTTAGTGTAGGACCCACCTAAAAGGTTTGCCTTGACGTGGCAGTGAGCTTCCATCTAATGGCCATTGGAGTTACTAAATAACCTCCATTTATTTAAATATGCATAGGGATTTGGGAACAGCGCAGGTAACTTTTTATTCTTTGGTTTTTACGACAGGTTATATGCTCAGCCTATCGTTGGCTGCCCACACTGCGCAGAGAGACAGAGGATGCAGAGACTACAAGCACGCAGAGGGCCAACTTCAGGGTAAAACTATTCAACAACTCCAGTTGCAATTTAATTGCTTTGAAGTTATTATGAGGGGTGGCTGGGGGGACCCAGGAACTTTCCTTTAAATAAGTTTTGTGTATCACTGTAAAGGCCAAGTGTAAGTTCACAAACCAACGTCAAACAAATCTCTCAGGTGAGTCATATACTAAGTCACTTTGGCTACTTTTCAGAGTAAAGGAAACATCTTTAATGAGGCAGATTTGGAGCACAGGGATAATATTTTTGGCTTTATCTGCTTTTCTAGTACACCTCCTGTTACTGCAAATCCATTTATTCCCCATGTGTTTTTTATTTAGGGTTAATTAGTCTGTAAACATTTATGTGAAAACCAAATTCTGTCTCACTTGAAAAAAAAAAAAAGTTACCAAAACAATGAAGTCAGGGTTGTCTTTAACCTTGTTTCTTGCAGAGGTTTCTCCTTATGATGATGATAAGATGCTATAGGCGGACTTGAGACACTGACAAATGGCTGTTACGGTTACCCTAATCTTGCAGGGTATGCAGAACATTCCGAGAGGAAACATTATACAAGTGTCACCAATTTAACAAAGAATCTGGGTTTGAGCCTATACACTATCCCAGTCCAACATTTAGGAGGTGATTCTTTGTACTGTGTTCCAGACCAGTATAATAGTTTTTCAGGGTACATGACAAATGATAAAAGGAAATTAAAAAAAACACACTAAATAACAAGCATTAATAAAGTTTCATGACCTTTGAAATGATGCAAAAACAAAAATAAAAACAACCAGGTATTTTGTAAAATCAAGGTACATGCAACACCATAATTATATAAATTAAGGCAGCAATATTTAAAATCCTGTGGCTACCCTCAGTGACTCGCATGTGGGTGTAACTGAGCAGATAAAGTACCTTCCATTCTACTGGCTCAGTTTCATATCGTTTTTGCTCAGTAATGCATTCACCTTAAAAAAATAAAATAATTGTGCTATATTATTTCTTTGTAAATGGGTAATACAGACGAGTAACAGAATTAACGTGCATACTGTTCCAACATTTGCGTGTAGAGTATATTTTTTTTGTTTGGGTACAGTGGATATTTAAGGACCACTCCAGGCACCATAACAACTTTATCAGAATGGCTTACCTGAAGTCTTCAAGTCAGCGCCCAATCGCTCTGCACTGCCCCTGAGCTTCTGTTCAAAGTCAGAGGCTTCAATCAGGAAGCCTCGGACCGGGCTCCTGTAATAAGCTGTGAGCGTCAGCTGGTGCTCTCCGTTTATCAAAAACTCCTCAATGAGAAAAGAGAGTGAAAAGCATACTCCCCAAAGTTGTTATGGTGCCCAGAGTGCCCTTTTTTTTTTTTAAATTCTTTATTTTTCGTGCATAGATTATTCATGTAACAGTTTTCTAGCGATGCCACAACAGCTGTCGCCAGGGTTTGAATAGACATGTAAATACAATTGTATGGCAGGAATAACTTTGCACATTTTTATATATATATGAGAAGAGTGGATAGTGGTATAGCACTGTTCCAGCGTGAGTGTGAGAGATTATGTTCAGATAGAGACCTTCAGGTTAGGGAGCAGGGGCTAGTGTGCGTGTTAACCATCAGGTTAGATTTTTGTTAGGTATATACATGCGTTTAAGTGTTATCAGCCCTGGCCGCAGGACAGAGCAGTGCCTGTCCAAACTTTGGGCTGGTTTTGCTTTGAAAATCACACTGCCCAGTCGCCTCATTCTAGGTGTACGTGTCCCGTGTTTCATCTACACTTGGTTAAATCTATGCTTCAGTCGACACCTAGCGCGACCCAACCGAATTTAGCGGCAGCAATTTGGAGAGTAGCCAGCCAGCCCGCGCATCCCACCCCCAGCAATCCCATGAATACTAGATTGTTTGCTCATGGATAGTTATGGGACAGGAGTGTTGCGGGCAAGCTGGCCCCCCCAAATCACGTATGCCACCCAGTCCAGGCTGCGAACTATGTGCTCCAGACTTATTTTGCGTAAGACTTATAACTTATTTTTAGTTTCAGAGTGCTAGATCTATCTGTGGTGTTATCAAGTGGTCTGTGGTGTCAGTCGGTTAGTCGTGAGAGTATCTTGTCAGGGGGCCTTATCCGTGGTCCGTTTGAGTTACTCTCGAGGGGTAGTAGCCCTAACCTAGGGGCTGTCGGGGGGGGATTTCTGTTCTGTATGGTAGTGCATATTCCTTTAGTGCACTGGTATTCCAGCGCCGTCCCTGACAGGCTCACAGCGCGTCATATGGGTGTTAGAGCGTCAGATTAACTTGCTCATTATCAACAAAGCTTAAGTGGCTGAAGGTGAAAGGGTATATGAGAGAAACACAAGAAAATACATTTTGCCGTTTTTAGCCTTTGAGCGGGATGGAGTAGGAGACTTCTCCCCTCATTCCCGTCATGTGGCGTGAGTGTCCCTTCTCCGTGTCCTCGGGGTGAACGGCTCTATCGTCTCCGGGTCCCAGGCATGGGTAGCGTTCTGGGCGTGCTCGGTCGGCAGGCCCAATTTTGGTAGTAGCGCGGCAGCATCAGGTCCTGTAGCGATTTTGTACGTGTTTCCTCGGTGTGTAACCAGGAGGTGGCGTGGGTTTCCCCACCGATATGATACGCCCGCGGAACGTAGCTGGCTGGTGAAGTCACTGAGGGTTCTTCTCCATTGGAGAGTGGCTCTGGTTAAGTCCTGGTAAAAAGTCAGTTGAGACTCCTCGAAGTTGAGCGGTGTCTTGCCCTTGAGTGCCGACATTATGTGCCCCCTATCCTGGGGAAGGATGCAGCGGACTATGACGTCTCCTGCTAGGAGTGTAGATGCCCTTGTTGGGGTGGGTAGTCGGTATATTCCGGCAAAGGTGAGTTTCTTTGCCACCGCAGGAGGAAGTATAGCTTGCGTGAGCCGTCTCACGTAGTGAGGTAGGTCCTCTTTGGAGACTGTGACAGGGATACCTCGGATTTTTATGTTATTGCGTCTGTGTTTGTCTTCTTGGGCTGCTAGTTGAACCTCGAAGTTTTGTTGATTGTGTTGTAGTTGTGCGAGGGAGTCTTGCAACGAGGTGATTTCTTTTTGGATCCCCTGCACTTCTCTCTCAGTGTGTACTACTTTTTCAGTGATTTGTTGCATGCTTGTTTTAAGGGCAGGTAAATCTGCAGCCAGCAGGCTTTGGATTTCTTGCAGCATAATTTGCATATGCTGCAGGTCCTGTTTAGTGGCCGGTTCAGTGGTTCCCTGCTGGGGTGTGGGTTGTAGCCTTGGAACCCCCTGTTGTGCTTTGCTCCCTTAAGTCAGATTCTAGTGGGGAGTCTGGGCCTTGTGCGGCCGCCATTTTGGCGGGTGTTTGCCTCTGGAGCATTGTGCTTATATCAGGCTGAGCTGTACCTGGTTGAGGTTTCTGGGATCTGCGTCCCATCCCTGAGATTCCGTGTTCGGAGTTGTGCTGGGATGTGTCCCACTCGTCTTCAAGGAAGTCCCCGCCGAACAGGTAATCCAGGCCGTGGTGGGCTGATGGAAGGTAGGCCCGTGCTCTGTGTTTTGACTTTGCCTGCTTCGGGGTGTACCGGAAGGGCATCGGAAGAATCCGGGGGATCTCCCCCGTGCTATGCCGGTGTTCTTGCGGCTGGATGTCAGGGCTGCGGGCTGATATTGAGCGGATTCGGTCCGTAGATGTCGGAGCCCGCAGAAATGGCGTCCGGCCCGTTTCGTGTCCAGGCTCCGCCGCCCAGAGTGCCCTTTTAATTTCTAAAATAACACTATTAGAGAAGAAAGTGGTGTATCAATCAAGTTCCACACACTCAAAAGCTGTCTCAATATTTCCTAATTTTGTTGGATCTTTAGACAAAGCAATCTAATATGGCCCTTTATACACACCATCTCACATCCCCTTTAACATTTACTAAAGCTACCTGGGTATATCTTAAACAACTGTGCACCTCCTATACACTATAACAGGATTCTGAAAACTGGTTTGAACAATGCTCTCAAATACTTTATAATACTCTTGAATAGATAATTAAAAATAAAATAATTGTTTCCTATTGCATATTTTTTTTTATAATTTAAAGGGTCTTTAATCAAGTGGTTTGGGTGCCCTCTCGTTTCAGCCCTGAATAGAATGCATGTCTTTCAAAACCCTCTAACCTTAGCAGATAGGGAGGATATGAGGCGCAACATTGTCAAGAGACTTGACAATGTGACATGAATCTGGCTTGGCACCCCGAAATTAAACCTACTACTTCTCTTTATTGCCATATTAACTCATACTCCTCCTTTCTCCATGATTGTATACTTTATTGCAGGGCTCGACAAATCCCAGATGCCAGATCGCCATATCGGCCCAAAGCTGCAAGGGAGAAGGCATGCAGTCGGCTGGCTGGATGTGGGAGAGCAGAGGCGATCAGCAAGTGTTGTGGGAGAGCAGAGTCGGACCAGCGGCTGCTGTGGAAATGGAGGGAGCTGTCATCTCTCTGCTCCCTCACACGCCCTGCAGTGATGCCGGGAGCCGGAATATGACGTCATTCCAGCCCCGGGGCATACTAAACAGTGAATGACAGGGAGCAGAGCAGGGAGATGACAGCAGCACCGTTGGACACCAGAGAAAGCCTATCCACTCCAGATCTCCAAGGGTAGGGAGGCTGAGTGGATTTCAATTAAAATATATATTTTTAAATTACAACTTTTGAGTGTGAGTGTGTGTGTCGGTCTGTGAGTTTAAAGGACCACTATAGTGCCAGGAAAACATACTCGTTTTCCTGGCACTATAGTGCCCTGAGGGTGCCCCCACCCTCAGGGGCCCCCTCCCGCCGGGCTCTGGGGAGAGGAAGGGGTTAAAATCTTACCTTTCTCCAGCACCGGGCGGGGAGTTCTCCTCCTCCTCTCCTCCTTCATAGCGACGTCATCGGCTGAATGCGCATGCGCGGCAGGAGCCGCGCGCGCATTCAGCCAGTTCATAGGAAAGCATTTCCTATGGACGCTGGCGTCTTCTGACTGTGATTTTGAGACAGCCACTAAAGGCTCTAGAGGCTGGATTAACCCTTTCTGAAACCTCCATGTTTATTAAAAAAAAGGGTTAACCCTAGCTGGACCAGGCACGCAGACCACTTCATTAGGCTGAAGTGGTCTGGATGCCTATAGTGGTCCTTTAAGTGTGTCTGTCAGTCTGACTGCCAAGCATGGAGACGTTGAACATAGGTGCATCACATTGTCTAGGCTAGGAAACACCTCTAGTGACTGATTGAGTGACGGCACATTAAGCTGCAGTGGTCCTGGTGACTATAGTGTCCCTTTAAGAGTTGTATTTTTGTCACTAAAAATTAAAAGACCACTATAGGCACCCAGGCCACTTCAGCTTAATGAAGTAGTCTGGGTGCCAGGTCCAGCTAGGTTTAACCCTTTTTGCTCTAAACATAGCAGTTTCAGAGAAACTGCTATGTTTACATATGGGTTAATCCAGCCTCTAGTGGCTGTCTCATTGACAGCCGCTAGAGGCGCTTCCGCGCTTCTCACTGTGATTTTCACAGTGAGAAGATGCCAGCGTCCATAGGAAAGCATTGAGAATGCTTTCCTATCGACTGGCTGAATGCGCGCGCGGCTCTTGCCGCGCATGCGCATTCAGCCAGGGACATCAGAAGAGGGAGGAGAGTCCCCAGCGCCGAGGGAGCCCGGAGCTGGAAAAAAGGTAAGGGATTAACCCCTTCCTCCCCCCTCAGCGCCACGGGAGTGGGACCCTGAGGATGGGGGCACCCTCAGGGCACTATAGTGCCAGGAAAACGAGTATTTTGTGCTCACTGCTACCAAATCAGTAATTGTGAGCTTGTGGAAAGCGACCTGAATACCTAGTTTAAGAGAATGGTTAGCTAAAATTTAGTATTTCCGTGCCCTAGAGGAACACTGGTGGTCGTCCCAGGGGAAACATGCCAATTATGTCAGGATCTGGCAACCCTGGATCTTCTATATGGGAATTCAATCAGAGGGTACACAAAAGGGGGTAGGGGACAACGTCAGAGCAGGAGAGTGAAAACGCCTACTATTGCTTGTGCTCCATGGTAGTTGCATTGAAATCAATTTGGTATCGCCTGTGACTTTATCTCTGTCTCTGTCCTTGTAATTAGGGACGGTTGGGACCCACCCAATGTGCATTGGTCTCAACTTTCTCCTATTTCTTAGTTACAAACACCCACAGTATGGTCACCATCAAGCTTGGAAATTATGTATATAACATATATGCTCAGAAGTCTACTCTTCTGCATTCCTCTTATGTTTGTTTAACGGTTATTCTCTGTATGTAATGTGTTAGTGGATCTTTATTCATCTACCCGGTCATATGGTTTCAGAATACTAGCAACCTGTTAGATAGGATGCATGTCGCGGGAGCTCTAGGGCCCCGGAGTATCGATAGGTAGCTATCACCTTTACTCAGCCGAGGGTTATGCATATAGACGAACAGATGATACGATGAACGTAAGGATAACCATAGAGCTCTCACTGCTCATGTCTTCTCCGGCAATACCTACCCAATGTTAATCTCAGAGGCAACTTCACCACTCATATGAGTAATTCCCATACATATAGTATGTACCTTGCCTGATAATGTGTATCTCTTGTACGACATGTACCAAGTGGAATGTATACTGTTAATTGATTATCTTTTTGCTTTGACTCCATATGTCTGATATTCTTCAATAAAAATAAATTAAATAGAAAATAAATGCTGGCTCCTAACTTTTTTAGCTGGCTCATAGATTCCAAGCAAATGTGTCAAGCCCTGCATTATTGCCACTAGATGTGTTGCAAGATACTTAGTCTATTAGAAATGCAATATTTTATGGGATCTTGTTTATGTTGATTGATATATGTGTTTATTTGCAAAATGTAGGCCATTTCAGAGAAAAGGCAGTGTTTACATTACTGCCTAGTAACACCTCTAGTAGCAGTCTGATTGCTTCCTGGGCCAGTGCTGCACATGACGTTCAGTTGAACGCTCCTCATAAAAATGCATCGATTCAATGCATTTCTATGAGGAGATGTTCAATGAGCAGCATGGCGTTTTGCCGCACATGAGTAATAGCCTCCCAATGTTTTCCTCTGGGAGTGCATTGGATTGGCTGAGATCTGTGAAGTTTGATGATGAGCCTGAGAGCGCATGCTGGGTCATGTACCCTGGCACCACTCCCTGTTAATGGGCCAAACCGTTTTGCAACAGTTTGCTCTCTCCTGGGTCCCGGTCAAGCACCAAGGTTTCTCTAATGCGATCCTATCAGCCATTAATTGGCTCATGGTGTCAGCCAGGCACTCACAGCCAATTAATGGCCTTCTGTGAATAGTAATTTGCACAGTATTGACTTTAGCAGAACTCGTGTTGGCTATTGACTCTTTCCTCAAATGTTGCTGCTGACGCAAAACAAAATAGCTAACTTCTGTATGAGCAGTGTTTGCTGCACATACAGACTCCAGGCACCATAATGTGCCATACAGACTCCAGGCGCTATAACCACCTCAAGGGAACCATTACGTAATGGAAAATCACATCTAACTCGTGTTAACCTTTTTTCATGAAACACTCTTTTCCTCTCTGAAATATATATTAAAGGACCACTATAGGCACCCAGACCACTTCAGCTTAATGAGGTGGTCTGGGTGCCTGGTCCAGCTAGGTTTAACCCTTTTTTCTATAAACATAGCGGTTTCAGAGAAACTGCTATGTTTATAAATGGGTTAATCCAGCCTCTAGTGGCTGTATCATTGACAGCCGCTAGAGGCGCTTCCGCGCTTCTCACTGTGATTTTCACTTCAGCTTAATGAGGTGGTCTGGGTGCCTGGTCCAGCTAGGTTTAACCCTTTTTTCTATAAACATAGCGGTTTCAGAGAAACTGCTATGTTTATAAATGGGTTAATCCAGCCTCTAGTGGCTGTCTCATTGACAGCCGCTAGAGGCGCTTCCGCGCTTCTCACTGTGATTTTCACAGTGAGAAGACGCCAGCGTCCATAGGAAAGCATTGTGAATGCTTTCCTATGGACTGGCTGAATGAGCGCGCAGCTCCTGCCGTGCATGCGCATTCAGCCGAAGAGGAGGAGAGGAGGCGGAGAGAAGGAGGAGAGCTCCCCACCCGGCGCTGGAGAAAGAGGTAAGTTTAACCCCTTCCTCCCCCCAGAGCCCGGCGGGAGGGGGATCCTGAGGGTGGGGGCACCCTCAGGGCACTATAGTGCCAGGAAAACGAGTATGTTTTCCTGGCACTATAGTGGTCCTTTAAAGATTTAGCAATTGATATGACAAAGCAGTTCAGTCCTGGCACAGCCAAGGCACACATTGCATAGGAGGAGGAGAAACAGATATATTATTTCTCTATCTCCTGCTCTAATCACTATGTTAAATAAAAAAAGGCAGAGCTTAATTGACTGGGGGACAAATTTGGGTGCTCAGATCCAGAGCTAAATCTATTTATAGATTTCTACATTTCATATTATTTTTAAACCTCACAAGAACATATTTGTTAAATATAGGGATTAGTAAAAAGAATGTTAAAATCCGGCAAAGGGTATTCTTGACAGGATTATATTCAGGTAGGTATACAAATGTAATCTATAATGTGTATCTGACGTTGGCAGCAAATGCATTGCTCAAAGGACCAAATTAGCTTACTACTGCTCAAGTCTAGCAGAAGCCCTCACACAAATTCAATGCCCAGTATGTAATGATGTTATTGACAATTACAAAAATCTTTCATGTGTACGAGGAAGTTACAAATAACGCAGTTAGTCTATTTTTATAAATATATGTAAATAAATTAAATCAATTTCCTCCAGTAGTTATCAGTAATACCAAAATTTCAGCCATGGTTACGGTATAATTTAAGCAATGTTAAGCAATATATTTACAGTAAATCATAATTTGAATAGCAAACCACATCATAACGAGGCAGTTACACATATGTCGAATTCACACTTCTAAAGCAAGTGAAATTGCCAGTCTAAATGAAAGTCATAACATTAAAGGGACACTATATTCACCAAAACAGATTTAGCATAATGAAGCAGTTTTGGTGTATAGATCATATCCCTGCAATATCACTGCTCAATTATCTGCCTTTACATCACTTTTGTTTTTAATGCAACCCATGTCACACCTCCTCTGGATGTGACTGACACTGCCTGCATTAAAAAAAATTGTTTCATTTCAAACAGATTTTACTTTAAAAGTGTTTATTTCCTGCTCTGTAAATTGAACTCTAATTACATACAGCATGCTCCTGCAGGGTCTAGAAGGCTATTAACAAAGCAGGAGATAGGAAATTCTAAATTAAACAGAATTTTTAATAAAGAAAGTGTAAACATTAGATGACTCTGTACAGGAAGGGTTTAGGAAAGCTGTGCAAGTCACATATAGGGAGATGTGACTAGGGCTGCATAAACAAAGTGATTTAACTTATAAATGGCAAAAAATTGAGGAGTGAGTATGCATGGGGCATGACCTATACACCAACACTGCTTCATTAAGCTAAAGTTGAAATCCCTCTAGCCCTGGGACAAAGCAAAGAGCGCTAGGCCTGAGACCTGAAAGTGTCTTTATAAATACAAGAGCAATCACATTGCAGGAAGAGGTACACACCAGCCTGGAAGGAATGCTGCAGAGGAATAGGCAGAGGGGACAATACCTGCCTGGAAGGAGAGCTGCAGTTTGATTGGGTGGAAAAGCTCCAGAGACAACCCAGTCAAGCCTCGGCGACTAGGGTTGAAGCACGTCAGGCTTCACCCCAAACAGCTAGGAAGGGGATTTTGCGGAGGTACTCGGTCGGAGAACATGAGCTCCATCACCAACCATAAATTAGGATTAACAAATTAGCCCCTAATGATTAGTAAAAATGTATTTTATAAAGTAGATATTAAATACAAAAAAACTAAAATAAATAAATAAATCCTCATACACATAAAGCTGACTAGTATATCAGTATGGCTAATATGTATCAAAAGTGCTGAACGGAGCACTCACCTCACAGGCAAAGCCTTACTCCGCAACAGAAGCTGGCTACACCGAGGAGCCCGGCACTGGGACTCTCAACCTGTCAGGGGACGTTGTGGAAGCCCTACTTACGAGGTATGGCTCAGACTGCTGGTACACAACGAGGCACGGAGGCCTGGAGTTTCTCAATATGATGCAGGACTCTGCTATGGCCCTGGCCGGAGTGGGGTCATGTGACTCATGTGACTTTCCGGGCTGAACTGGGGAGAGCACTTGGCCATTTATTTTACCCTCTCACCCCTGAATAAGCGGGGGGATGCCTATGCCCATACCTGTTTTGCAAAAGTGATCATAGGAACACATTGCTGTCTTTTTTGTTTGCGGCTTTAACACACTGAGTGCCATGGAATCTCTTTGCTGCCTATGCTGATACCTGTGTCACTACTCCTTACTTCTGCCTCATTTTCCACCTTTTTTTTAAAGGAACACTATAGTCACCTAAATTACTTTAGCTAAATAAAGCAGTTTTAGTGTATAGATCATTCTCCTGCAATTTCACTGCTCAATTCACTGTCATTTAGGAGTTAAATCACTTTGTTTCTGTTTATGCAGCCCTAGCCACACCTCCCCTGGCTATGATTGACAGAGCCTGCATGAAAAAAAATCTGGTTTCACTTTCAAACAGATGTAATTTACCTTAAATAATTGTATCTCAATCTCTAAATTTAACTTTAATCACATACAGGAGGCTCTTGCAGGGTCTAGCAAGCTATTAACATAGCAGGGGATAAGAAAATCTTAATTAAACAGAACTTGCAATAAAGAAAGCCTAAATAGGGCTCTCTTTACAGGAAGTGTTTATGGAAGGCTGTGCTAGTCACATGCAGGGAGGTGTGACTAGGGTTCATGAACAAAGGGATTTAACTCCTAAATGGCAGAGGATTGAGCAGTGAGGCTGCAGGGGCATGTTCTATACACCAAAACTGCTTCATTAAGCTAAAGTTGTTCAGGTGACTATAGTGTCCCTTTAAGTTATTTTCTTTTCTTGACCTACAGCCAGCGTGGGGCACCCTGGGGGAGATCACTCTGTTATATATCACATTGTTATATATCTATGTCTAATACTAAAATTTGCGCAGATTACTAGCCATGTCTATTTTGAAATATTGGATACTTCTCTTGTCACTACTCAATGTCATGGTTACTGATATATTGTTTGCCTCATGCACAACAAAAAATAAAGAATTATATATAAAAAAAAAAAAAAGCGCAGAATGGAGAAACTATCTATACAAACAGAAAGAGTATCCACCTAAGCGAAAACAAAGTATCATATCACTTGTATGAATATGTGTCTAAAAGTGAAGGAGGGAGTATTAGCTAAACTGCTAAATAGTAGAGGCAGCTCGGGATAACTGGAAGAGCCAGTTAGTGGTGAAACGCGTGTCGGGACGCTTGAGTGTGTCTGTGGTTAACGATAAGGGACGATGCTGCAGCATGATTTAACTATGGAGACATTACCACTACACACTTTGATGTCTATTTTTTCTTTTTCTTGTATTTAAGTTATTTGTTTTACTTTTTCCTTCAGTTACTATTGCATTTAGCTACTATTTGTGTTGATTTTTATTAGTGCTGTTAAGTAGGGAGTAGTTTTCCTGCTAGTCGATAGAGACTCCTATTTAGTCATTTCATGACGGGATATTTCTGGGGGGGCCTTGCTTTTCTAAGGTGTGCCTTTGGAGGCACAGCAGTATAGCACAGCGAATATGGTGTCTTCATTCTATTTTATCCATATCCCGAGCTGCCTCTACTATAGCAGTTTAGTTAATATTCCCTTTTTTATCGTTATTATACTTTGTCATCACTGGATACTGTTTCTGTTTGTATAGATAATTTCTCCTTTCAGTACTTTTGAAACATATTAGCCATACTGATATTCTAGGCAGCTTTATGTGTATGAGGATTCACTTATTTATTTATTTTAGTGTTTTTGTATTTAATATCTACTTTATAAAATACATTATTACTAATCAGGGATCTTCACTAGATTTAGTCCCAACTATAGGGATGTTTTTTATGCAATTTTTTGTCTTTTTGATATTTCTAATAAAATTTAAGTTTTACAATTGGGTTACTTCGCTTTTGTACAAAAGGATTCTTATTAGCTTTGATTTTTCTTCCCCCCCAGGTGTTGTTTTAGTACACCATGTACAATGATGTCAAAAAAGAGAAAGGATTGTCCCCTAGATCTATTAATAACCCGAGGGACCCTGTGATTGTTAGACAATTTCCCACACCCCATGTTTAGTAGGAGGTGTTTTATTAATAATAAGAAGGGAACAGAGAAGTCGCCCATAAGAGCAATGAGAGCGTATCATTAGGCGCACTTACGCTACCCGAAGAAAACTCAGTCCATAACACAGCAATTATGTGCATGGGCTACCCAGAAAGGGGGCAAGCAGCCTGACACTCTCCATTTTTTGGCATGACTGTCCCATGCCACTTCATCAAAGACACAAACATGGTCACAGGCGTGGAAACAGCTGCGCTCCTCCCCACATTCAAACCTCAGAACAATTGGAGGCACACTTCCTTTTACTGCACAAGATGAGTTGGATTGCTGAATAAGCTAAAAGTGTATACAATGTCCCTTTCAGTTTTCCAACAAGCGTTGTTCACAGCATCACCCAAGTAGTGTATACATGCTGTGTGCACAGCTTGGACAGTTGCAAGGAGACAGAGACATAAGCACAGGTTGTTATGGTGTTATGCTAGACTGTTAGCTCGTTTGAGCAGGGTCCTCATCAATATACTGTTCCTGTAAGATTTTGTAATTGGCTCATTTATTGTTAAAGGAACACTAAAGGGTCAGAAACACAAAAGTGTATTCATAACCCTATTTTATTAAAAAACCCTATGTAGCCCCGCTGGTCCTCACAACTATAGTAATATTTCACCTTATGTCCAGTGCCACGTGGGTCTGCCAGTGCTGGCTCCACCCATGCTTGTCCCCCTTGGCTGACATCATCAGAAATGATGATCTCAACCAAGGAGGCGGTGTGTAGGGGCGGAGCCAAATGCCACCATGGCCAATTAGCATCTCCTCATAGAGATTAATTGAATCAATGCATCTCTACAGGGAAAGTTCAGCATCTGCATGAAGAGCGTGGAGACGATGAACATCACTGTGACCCAGGGAGCACCTCTAGTGGCTGTCTGAGGAGTGGCAGCTAGAGATTTTCTTAGGCTGTAATGTAAACAAGAAAAGACAGTGTTTACACCAAAATGTCTGCAGGGACAGGCTTTACTCACAAGCTACATTAAGCTTTAGTTGTTCTGGTGACTAAAGTGTTCTTTTAAATATTCCCCTTTATAATATTGTAAAGCGCTGTGGAGTAAGGTGCTATCTATATAAATTCCTAAAATAATGATAGACCCTATAAGTAAGGAGACCTCTTAATGTAAAAGATAGACAGACAGACAGACAGACAGACAGATGATGTGTGCATAATATACTATGTGTGTTTACATACCTTACTCACACATATTTACTCATTTTATTTTGTTGGAGTTTTCACAGTATTTCCTGTGTTTCAGAAGTTCTGCCAGCCCTGTTTTGGTGGATTATTTTGAGAGTACATTAAGATGTGTCTCCTACCATTGCATGTTGGTGGCAGGACTCCTCCTGCAAATGCATACAAAACCCTCCAGTGTTTGGGGACCGGAAACTCCTAATGAGATTAGTTGGTGTGCGCAGACATTACTTAGCCATGACTAAATGTGTTCTCTTCCTGCAGCCTGTGGAAAATTCAAGGGAACATTTTCCCTCAACAGCAACATCAGGTCTCCTAACCTTATATATACACAGATACATATATTGCTATGCATAAAAAAAATCTCTCCCCTTCTAAAAACAACACTGCTCCCCTCCTGTATGATTTTTTTTGCTAGTGATGGTCTTTATTAAATGTCTGAACACTACAAAGGGAGCTGCAATGCACAAATACATAGACCTGAGTAAGGAAACCACACAGTCTCTTTTGTGTGCTCCAGTGACTCATTTTCAAGATGTTGTCTACTGCCAGTTTCAAACCGGAAGCTCAGGGCAATTAGTCTTACTGTTTCCAGACAAGCTGGACTCACACAACTTTCTTTAGGAGAAGAATGCACTCCCCCCCCCTGGCTGGCTGTGTCACTGCTTCATTCACACTGATTGCAATCTCTGCACAGCCACCCAGCTGGGTGATGCTCTGCTAGATAACCTCGAATGGGGATGGCACATACAGGGAGCTATCAATCATCCAGTCAGCTCTGTCTCTCCTGGAAACCTAGCAACAATGGAACTCCAAGTTACTGTACTTTTACAGTAATTGCTGGCTGAGCTTCATGAGAATTCCAAAAGCCAGAGGATAGGAATCACTAACAGACATATATGCTCCCCATCCCTTTACTGCTGAGAGACTAGGAGCATAGCCTGCTATATCTGTCATGAGGACAGTGACATGTAAACCATTATTTATGACTGCAATTACAGAGTGATTAACCAGAGCTAGAAGACTCCCCACCCTCTCCAGACCATAAATAACAGACATTAAATGCAAAGTAAGCTTGATCTCTTATTACAATGAACACACTCAAAATAACACAAGAAACAGCCATGCTTGCACATCATTCAGTAAGTCACCATCCCACAAGGAGACCCCTTCCAACAAAAGAATGAGCCCTAAACTCACAAATCCACTAGAATTATACAGCAGGGGAGGGAGTAGGCAAAAAGGAACCTTCCTAGAACTACAACTCTTATCAAGCAAAGCCAGCCTGCACTGTGATGGAGAGGTACAATGCCACAACAGCTGGAGTGATGTCCACCCCTTGCAGCAGAGTACACAACATGCAAAGACGTTACATCCTAAGTATACAATTCCTGATACAGTGTATACAGTATTTACATACCCAAACTGCTGGAGAAGTGTATGGAGTTTCTTCTTAATTTTGCTTTTACAATGGACCTGGTAAAATCCCTTCGTTTTCCATGCTGACAGTCGTCTGCAAACGTTTCTGTTGTAATGAGATCCTGATTTTTTTTCTTTCTTTTCTTTTTTTTTTTCAGTGTTTTGTGTGTGTGTGTATGTGTGTGTGTGAGCAGGAAGTTGGAATAGTCAGACAGAGAGCCGGCTCACTTCCTCTGTTACATTATTCCCTGGCGGTTTGCAGTCTGTGTAAACAGGTTTTTCCTTCCCTCTCCTTTCTCTGCTGATGTTCAACATCTTTGTACTATAAAACATACATATAGTAAAATGGCTGAGATTAACAGCATGGAGTGTACACACACAAGACACACTACTAGTGCCCCCCACCAGTCTGCTCTCCATTTCCCCCAATTCTTGATTAGTGGGAGGGAGGTCTTAGATGGTGCCCCCCCTTGTACACTTATAAAATATATATTTTTTAAAACATCAGTAAGAATAATAGTACTTATTAGACTTCACTTACCAGGGGCAATTTAAAAAAATATATATTTTTATTAAAAAAAGTATATATATATATATATATATATATATATTTTTTTTTTTGGGGGGGGGAGGGGGGAGGTGATTTAAGATGTATATGCTACTTTATTTTCCTAAAAAGTTGTGATGTGTTTTCATGTACTACTTATTTTTGTTTACTTTATTATTATTGTTGTTGTTTATGTAATATTCACTTTTTTAAGACAGAAATCAATTTTGCTTTGTAGCATGGAGAATTGTATATGTTTATCTCTCTAAGGCTTTTATAAACAAACAAAAAAAAGATAATTCTTTATTAAAGTCCTTTTTACGTTTCTATGGTGCAGAAATTAAACTCTTAAACTTGGTATAATGACACTAATTGCTCATGTGAGCAGAACCCCTGTCATACCTTCCTGTATACCTACAGTTATCATTTATTTGCATGTTTTTAACATTGCAGGGGACAAAAATTAGATCCCGCGGGAGGCAATAGTACCTTTTGATCAACCCCTCTGTAGAATGTGTTTATGCTTTATAACCTGCCCCTCCTCCCCCCACCAATTACCAATGATAATTATCTGACTACATTATCTACCCTTCCAAAAACATTTCTTTTCTTTTCTTACTACAGTCAAGGCTACATAAGCATTTTTCTTACAGCAACTTTTTGGCCTTTTTATATAACTTACAAAATATCAGTAATGATAGTTATAGTAGTGGTACAGAGCACCGCAATTATGGAACGACCTCCCGCACACTTTCAAATCTTCCCCAAGCCTAAAGTCCTTTAAGAGATCCCTCTCTACATACCTCAAACAGAATGCTTGTGTTATGGTTGATTATATATTTCCTACCTGTTCTATGTTAAATTTTGTATATATTGTGTATTAATATTGTTTTTGTATTTTATTTTACCCTAATGTATCAATGCAATGTTTTGTGGACCCAGGACATACTTGAAAACGAGAGAAATCTCAATGTATCTTTCCTGGTAAAATATTTTATAAATATATATATATATATATATATAATTGCATTTATCTTTGCTATACTAAATAGATGCTTATTTACAAAGTAATGCAGCATTGGTGGTAAAGGCGGAAAATGCAGTTGTTAAAAAGTGTACACAGACATTTACTGCAACATCTATTTTCCAAGGCTGCAGTTTGAAGATGCAACTGAAAATTGTTTGTGTATGATGCAATCACACAGTATTAATTAAAGAAATTAGACTCAGTGCATTTGAATCTGGAAACATGGGAGCTTGAATTAAGAAGCCACTTTTCCATTTATCTGTAAAATGTATTATATACACATAAGGAAATTCATTAAACATTAAACACTGGATTTTTTTCACAAGGACTAAATCCAGTGAAAATGGCTGAATTCCGACCCAAATGGCAATTCTCATTTTTACTAAAGCCAAATCTGATCGGAATTCGGCCAAACCGAGTGAATCTGTAACAATCGCCCAATCGCATTTGGGGCTTTGGATTTAAATCGGTGCTTTTCTCATCTGAATCCTATACAAGGCATAGTATTCAGAATACACTGATTAAAAAAATTAATTAAAAAAATTTGGATCCGAATACATCCAGCATGATGCACATTCACAAATTATCCTTCACATTTGCCAGCCTGCACCACTACCCGCCAGTGACATATACTTAAGTAACCTTTAGAAATATTTAAAAAGTTTAAAGAAAAGCCTGATGGGGTCAATATGACCCCAATATTACATAGCATGAACAATATCCAAATTTTGCAGTCTAAATGACCTGTACAGCACCTGACTTTGATCCATTCAGGCTTTAGTAAATAACTCTGATATAGTTATAATTTTTTTCTTCTTTTTTTTCTTCTTTTAAACAAGCATACACTCAAATGTTACAATAATCAAGTAAAAACAGAACATAAAAAAAAAGACAGTAACTTTTATGTAATTTACAGAAAAGGATACGGTAGGCAGAAAGTGACCCCCAAAATAGATATGCATTAAAATATATACAATAAAGTAAAATAATTAAAAGAAAAATAATAGTCACCTTGCACAATCAAAAGCCAGCAGCTGGGAAACTCCTACTGGACCAGGAAAAGGTTTCACAAACCCTGTGAACTGCATATAACATTTACAGCAGGAGATTATGGGTTATATAATTTATCAGTAAATTGAGATCACAGGTTTTTTTTTAAATGGGCTGTGTTCAGTGTTCTATCCAGTCGCTGAGTATGATTCATTCTCAGTTGGATGGATCTGAGTTCATCTGCTCCAGGTGATATGGTTATGGCTATGAATTTTGCAAATTGCTGCAGCTATAAGCCACACTTATATAAATTATAACGTGTGATTATGTAAATGTGTATGGTGTAATATGTTGTCCCTTTATTACTTGCACAAAAGACCCTCTTGAACATCTTTCAGTTTTCTTACCTCTTCAATCCACAGAGAGCCAAAGCCATGGCAGATACAATTTATTAGTGATTTTTAATGAATTTATTTTAAAATAAATATGATTTCTAATATTTGATGATCCTGCAGTTATTTTATCTTTGGTTCCAGTTTCTAGTTTATTCATATCGTCCAGTGGGGATTCTGTTATCGCAACGGTGTTACCTCTGAGCCAATTGAGTATATCTTTCAATAGTGTTTTTATTGTTTTTTTTTTTTGCCTTTCTGTGTATTTAAATTTTTAGCACAAGCTGGAGTTTCTGGGATTGTTAGACGATTTGTGACCAGTACCTACTGATCAAATCCTTGGGATAGTACTATCTTTCCTTTGACAGGTGACAATCCTCATAAACACATGAGTGTATTCCTTTTAGTGTGTGAATATATACTGGATGTTCTATTCTACAGATTTACACAATATACATTTTTCTATTTCCCTTAAGTGCTACTGAAAGACATTTTTGAAGTCAAATTATCAAACAACGCAGCCCATAAAATGATATTCTCTTTCATATACATACACATGCACGCACGCACACACATGGCCGGTGCAAAGATTTCTGCCGCCCTAGGCAAAGATCCATGCTGCCACCCCCCTCATGTCACTCACTCACTGACAGACACACACTTGCAGACACACATTCACTCACTGACAGACAGACACACACATTCACTGACACACACACACTCACTGACACACACAGAAACTCACTGACAGACATATACTCACTCACTGACAGACAGACACACACACTTACTGACAGACATACACTCACTCACTGACAGACACACACACACACAGAGACACTTACGGACAGACACTCACTCACTGACGGACACACACACACTTGCTAACAGACACACTCACTCACTGACAGACACACACACAGAGACACTTACTGACAGACCCTCACTGACAGACACACACACACTCAAACACACACTCACTGACTGACAGACACACACACACACAGGCACTCATTGACAGACATGCACACACTCACTGACAGGCACACTCACTCACAGACACACACTCACTGACAGATATACATACATACATACACTCACTGACAGGCACACACAAACAGACACTCACTGACATACATACACACAGTCACTGACAGACAGACACACACACACAGGCAGACACACACTCTCACTGACAGTCAAACACTCACCTCCCTGTGGTCCAGTGTACGGCAGCTCCTCACTCCTCCAGTGCGCTGTTTAGTATGGCGTGGGCGGAATGACATCATGGGAGAAGTGAGAGACTGCAAGAACAGCCTCCCTCGCCACCTTCCTTCTCCGCCCCCCTCTCCTCCTGCTCTGCCTTACCTATAGCACAGCTTCGGGGGTGATCTGTGACAGGGATCCTCTCGGCACCCCCATCTTTGGGCACCTTGAGGATCAGCCTGGCGCTGGGGGTGGAGGGCTCGAGAGCCGCTTGCCCAGCTCTGCGGACCCAGACAGGGTCTGGCAGCCCACCAGGGAGCATCCCGGCCGGCCCTGCACACACATATGCACCACATTACTGCAAACATTTTGAGTACATTTGTGCAACCACCTCAGTCATGGTCCTATGATTATATTATCCACAGCTCTCTAGACAGTGAATGAAAAAGTAAATCTCATATAAATAATATAGAGTTAGAGTAGGACCCACCAAAAATGTGGTACGTTGACGTTGTGGCAGGCTTATGCAATGTATGATCATATACTGTAACTAAACCCACATTATTTTTGCCTAGATTAGGTGTTTTTTTTTAAAAAAACTAATCAAATCTGTGAGCTTTGAAGTTGCTGTTTAGTGGATAAGTGAGTGCGCTGGATTTTGGCATTTATTTAGAAAATATGACTGATCATGCAAAAACAAAAGTATTTTATTGAAGGATAGTTATCATATGAAGCCATTTATTATCACATAGTTGTTTGGCTCCTTTTTAAATCATAATAATAACAGAAATTACCCAAATAGCCGTTATAAAACGTTTACATACCCTTGGATTTTTGGCCTTGTTACAGAGACATACTATGACACACAACAGGTTAAAATGGCAATTAAAGGTTAATTTCCCACACCTGTGGCTTTTTAAATTGCAATTAGTGTCTGTGTATAAATAGTCAATGAGTTTGTTAGCTCTCATGTGGATGTACTGAGCAGGCTAGATGCTAAGCCATGGGGAGCAGAAAAGAACTGTCAAAAGACCTGCATAACAAGGTAATGAAACTTTATAAAGATGGAAAAGGATATAAAAAGATATTCTTTTAGCCACAGTCGCAGAAAACGTGAGCTCCACGCAAAGCCCTAATATAAAGCTGGTTTGCAGTTATTTTACCTGCATACAACCACTATCTAATAGCTGGAGAGCATCAGGGCATCTTTGTGACCTACCTCAAAGGTTTTTTGTTACCCGATAGGCAGCCTAAACCAGACAAACCTTCGCGGCCTAATTGTGGATAAGTGTGGGAGTGGCAGCCGATCTCCCTGCTAGAGATCTTACAGGAATAAGTGGTCAGGAACCCTGAATTACCTCCCCCCTGCTGGTGGGGGTCATCCCGGCACAACATCACAGGCTTTATTCACCTACCACGAGAGAAATAGTGCATCTCTTGTGCTGCATGCGCTCTGTCTTCTTTTATGAGCCAAAATGGCGAACATAGTACCTGCAGAAACCACGGGAGGCCCACAGGAATCACTTCAAAAACGGCTAGACGAGCTCTTTCATACCTTCTGGCTAAAACTTGAGCACAGACACAGCAGCCCCAGCCTAATAAAGCTCAGCACTCCACAGCTTGTTCAGCGCGGAGACCATCCCTGACATTCTGCCACGGGGAGCCTCTTAGGAGGAAAGCCCCCCAAACCACGGCCCGTCCACATCCTGAGATGCACAGCACCCGCTCCTGCATACCTACAGCTATAAGCTTTGTTTGGAGAGGGGTCAACAATGCATATAGAGAAAAGAATAAAATCCTTAAGGTGAAGCATAGTAGTGGCTCACTGATGTTTTGGGGGTATGTGAGCACAGGAATCTTGTGAAAATTAATGGCAAGACAAATGCAGCATGTTATCAGAAAATACTGGCATTCTTCTGCACAAAGGCTGCGCATGGGACACTGATGGACTTTCCAGCATGACAATGACCC